CCCTGTCTAACGCAAATAAATAAAATAAAACAACATATAGTTTTTCTATTATTCATAATTAGTGAAAAATTTTATGTGATAACAAATTTCGTTGTCAACAATAAAAATGTGGTCAAGGACAATAGACATATGATAGACAGAATCTTTACAACATAATACATCTGTATACAAGGCATGAGGTATCCAGAACATAAGGCATCTGTATACAAGGTATGAGGTATCCAGAACATAATGCATCTGTATACAAGGTATGAGGTATCCAGAACATTATGTATCTGTATACAAGCAATACGGTACCAGAACATAAGACATCTGTATACAATGTATGAGGTATCCAGAACATAAGACATTTGTATACAAGGTATCAAGTATCCAAAAAATAAGGCATCTCTATACTAGGTATGGGGTATCCCGAACATTAGGCATCTGTATACAAGGTATGAGGTATCAAGAACATAAGGCATCTGTATACAAGGTATGAGGTATCCACAACATAAGGCATCTGTATACAAGGTACGAGGTATCCACAACATAAGGCATCTGTATACAAGGTATGAGGTATCCACAACATAAGGCATCTGTACACAAGGTATGAGGTATCCACAACATAAGGCATCTGTACACAAGGTATGAGGTATCCACAACATAAGGCATCTGTATACAAGGTACGAGGTATCCACAACATAAGGCATCTGTATACAAGGTATGAGGTATCCACAACATAAGGCATCTGTATACAAGGTATGAGGTATCCACAACATAAGGCATCTGTATACAAGGTACGAGGTATCCAGAACATAAGGCATCTGTATATAAGGTATGAAGTTTCCAGAACATATGGCATCTATACAAGGTATGAAGTATCCAGAACATTAGGCATCTGTATACAAGGTTTAAGGTATCCAGAACATTAGGCATCTGTACACAAGGTTTAAGGTATCCAGAACATAAGTCATCTGTATACAAGGTATGAGGCACTCAGAACATAGGTTATTTGTATACAATCTACGAGATAATCAGAACATAAGACATCTGTATATAAGGTACGCGGTATCCAGAACATAAGTTATTTGTATACAAGATATGGATATCCAGAACATAAGGCATCTGTATACAAGGTATGAGGTATCCAGACCATTAGGCATCTGTATACAAGGCATGAGGTATCCAGAACATAAGACATTTGTATACAAAGTTTAAGGTATACAGAACATAAGGCATCTGTATACAAGGTTTTAGGTATCCAGAACATAAGACATCTGTATACAAGGTATGAGGTATCCAGAACATAAGACATTTGTATACAAGGTATGAGGTATCCAGAACATAAGACATTTGTATACAAGGTTTGAGTTATCCAGAACATTAGTCATCTGTATACAAGGTACGAGGTATCCAGAACATAAGGCATCTGTATACAAGGTATGAAGTCTCCAGAACATAAGACATTTGTATACAAGGTATGAGGTATCCAGAACATAAGACATCTGTACACAAGGTATGAGTATCCAGAACATAAGACATTTGTATACAAGGTATGAGGTATCCAGAACATAAGACATTTGTATACAAGGTATGAGGTATCCAGAACATAAGACATTTGTATACAAGGTATGAGGTATCCAGAACATAAGACTTTTGTATACAAGGTATGAGGTATCCAGAACATAAGGCATCAGTATATAAGGTATGAGGTATCCAGAACATAAGACATTTGTATACAAGGTATGAGGTATCCAGAACATAAGGCATCTGTATACAAGGTTTAAGGTATCCAGAACATAAGACATTTGTATACAAGGTATGAGGTACCAGAACATAAGGCATCTGTATACAAGGTATGAGGTATCCAGAACATAAGACATTTATATACAAGGTATGAGGTATCCAGAACATAAAGCATCTGTATACAAGGTTTAAGGTATCCAGAACATAAGACATTTGTATACAAGGTATGAGGTACCAGAACATAATGCATCTGTACACAAGGTATGAGGTATCCAGAACATAAGACATTTGTATACAAGGTATGAGGTACCAGAACATAAGGCATCTGTATACAAGGTATGAGTATCCAGAACATAAGACATTTGTATACAAGGTATGAGGTATCCAGAACATAAGACATTTGTATACAAGGTATGAGGTACCAGAACATAAGACATTTGTATACAAGGTATGAGGTATCCAGAACATAAGACATTTGTATACAAGGTATGAGGTATCCAGAACATAAGACATTTGTATACAAGGTATGAGGTACCAGAACATAAGGCATCTGTATACAAGGTACGAGGTATCGAGAACATAAGGCATCTGTATACAAGGTATGAGGTATCCAGAACATAAGGCATCTGTATACAAGGTTTAAGGTATCCAGAACATCAGACATTTGTATACAAGGTATGAGGTACCAGAACATAAGACATTTGTATACAAGGTATGAGGTATCCAGAACATAAGACATTTGTATACAAGGTATGAGGTATCCAGAACATAAGACATTTGTATACAAGGTATGAGGTACCAGAACATAAGACATCTGTATACAAGGTATGAAGTATCCAGAACATAAGACATTTGTATACAAGGTTTAAGGTATCCAGGATGAAATTTGAAAAAAGGCAGGACAGGAGTTTTGAGGTAAAAAAAAAGGCAGGATGAGCAACTTGGCAAAAAAAAAAAAAAAGGCAAGATGACAATTTATGTAAAAAAAAGTCATGATAAACTAATAAAAAAAAGGCAGGACCGAATAGAGTGAAAAATAAAAAGGCAGGACAGAGATTACAACTAAAATAAAATGCAAGACAAAATTCTTCATCCTACCATCTCCATAAAATAGTAGCTCCCTTACCATATTTCAACGGATGAGAGATGCTGAAATCATATCACTTGATATGAAAAAGTTAAGCATGCAGTAACGAAACTGTTGGGCCTCCTCTCTTGAGCTATGTATATTTATATTAGTCATATCTGAGACTATGAAGAGGGTTATCTAAACCTACAATTGACTTGACATACCTAAGGCTAAAAATAATATATATTATACCAGTAGAGTCTGTTTTCTAACCTGAATTAAAACAAGAATGCATGCAGTGTCATTCTAAGCATTCCCCCACTGATTATTCTATGTATTAGAAACAGGAAGTAGGTGTCGGACAGGTCCAATATGTAGCTGTGCCAAGAGCGCATGATACATCCTTATTGTGCATTTTTAAATTGTTGCAAGAATAAGATGGGATATTTAGAAGGCACTTAATCAGAAGCAAATGAAATGGCTATGTAGAAAAACATGCATGAGATGCCCTTAGGTGTATAAATATTGTGTCAAGTATGACTGTTAAAAGTCCCAAATCTCTGGAATAACAAACCATAAAATTTTCAAAATCAAAGCGAGTCTACAATTACCAATCCCAACAACCGTGTTAAGTTTGTAGTAATTAGATCCAAGCATACTAAACCTAGTGCATGAAATTAAAAAAAAATTTTTTTATTTATTTGACTGTCAAAGTCCTCTGGAATGAAATATCAGATTTCTTTTAAAATCAAAAGGTGATTTGTTCACCATTTCCAACAATTATGTTAAGTTTCAGGTAAATCAATGCAAGCAAACTCAAGGTATGGTACAACATGAGAATTTATCTGAATGATTCTGACAATTAAAGTCCTGTAACTCTTGAACAACAAACCAGAAAATTAAAAAAAAACAAAGGGAGTTTCCTTTTATCAATCCCAACAATAATGCAGTTTTGAGGAAATCAATCAAGGCATAAAAATTGCCTCAATTCTAACGGTTAAAGTCCCTTAACTCTTGAATGACAAAGCAAATAAATGGGGAATGTGTCCATGGGACACAGATGATGCCCCAGCTTGCATATAACGTCATAAAGGGACATAACTCAAGAACTGTAAAAGTGACAATACCCAAATTTGTACTTGATCTGAGTTTTGTGGTAATTAGCATTGTGTATAAGTTTCATAACATTTAGTTGAGGCAAACTTAAGTTAGAGAACAGAAACGAATAGTTCAGCAATTTTTTCCATTTGTAAAGGGGCATAACTCTAGAACGGTAAAAGTGATGCCACCAAAATTGAAACTTGATCTGTGTTTTGTAGTAATAAGCATTGTGTATAAGTTTCATAACATTTGGTTGAGGCAAACTAAAGTTAGAGAACGGAAACCAATTTTGGGATGTACAGACGGACGTACAGACGGACAAGGGTAAAACTTAATGCCCCCTCCGCTACGGCGAGGGCATAAAAAAAATTTCAATTGAAAGGAAGCTTTCTCCCATCAATCCTAATGTTGTATTAAAATTACATGAAAATTGGATTAAGCAAATTTGAGTTATTGTACAAGGTGCTGACGGACGGACAGACAAAAATATACCATAAAACTCTGGTCTTGGATGATATAAAAATCACACAAACATTACAATTCATCACTGAATTAATATGAAGTGACTCTTTTAGGTAGTTCCTTGAGATTAGTGTGAAGAAAAATTAAAAGTTCATTCAACATATGGAAAATTCAAGGTATCTGCAAACAGAAAGAAGGTGTCTGACAGATCAGAAAGGGCTTAAAAGTGACAAATTTTCTCTATCAATCTGCTATGAAATATGAAGTAATTCTGTTCAGTAGAACTTGAGATAAGTGCAAAGGAAATACTTGTTGGACGAATGGACAGGAGTATAATAATAACAGCCATAAGGAAGCAACAGAAACATAGCTGCAACTGACTGACTCTTCAAATACCTACTAAATGACAGACACTTATTATAATATGGCCAAAGAAAAACAAACAACCTAAGTGTACAAGCTCAGAAAAACAAACAACCTGTGTGTACAAGCACAGAAAAACAAACAACCTGCGTGTACAAGCACAGAAAAACAAACAACCTGCGTGTACAAGAACAGAAAAACAAACAACCTAAGTGTACAAGCTCAGAAAAACAAACAACCTGTGTGTACAAGCACAGAAAAACAAACAACCTGCATGTACAAGCACATACTTTTTATTTATAATTAAATCACAGCACCTTCATATATCATTAATTAAAGTAGATGCAAAAAACAATAATCTTTTTTTTATAATTATCAACATCTAGATATAATTCAACAAAGGCCGTAAAGTAGATGTTTAATGTAAAATTCCTAAATTCTTTTTTTCATAAGAAAATAGATGCAGTACAATTGTGTAATATGATGGAAAATACATGATGAATCCACAAACAAGACGGTCAGTTCAATGAAGGAAAAAGAAGTCATGGAGGTTTTTATTTTAGTATAAATGACTACTTTAATAGGTTGAAAATATTAAGAAAATTAAGAGAAAGTTTCTTAATTGCATTTTTTGGGGGTATTTTAAGTTTTTTTTCTACTTTTCTGCATAAACACATCTGCATTCAACACAATGTATTTCAAATAAAAGTTTGTTTTGAGTTCCACCCAAAAACTCTTGGGTATTCTATGAAATAATGAATGCAAATTCAAGGATTTTTCGGCAAACTAGTTACCAAAGAACTAGAAATAGAAAAAAAAAGAAATCCTTACAGTTTTGTTATTTTTTAAAATGCTCAAATTTAGACTACAGAATTTAACCTCTGCAACACAGACATATGGCAGCATTTACCTGCATTTGTTTTATTCATTAGATTAAAACTGGAAATTTTATGAAACAAAGTGGAACAAGATTTTGAAGTAAATATTTTATACTGAAAAGATTTTGTAATTTTATTCAAAATATTTATAAAATCCTTTACTGCTGAAGACAATTTTGATGAAAATAGCAAATATTTTGCAGGTATGTAAAATTTAGCATTGAAGGCCATTTTGAACCATAATGAATTTATTTGTACAAGAGAGACAACACATCAATACACAGATTTTCTGTTTTATTTTGTAAAAAACCTTTAAATTTGCTTTTTTAGATAGTTTAATGCTAAAAATTTGTAACAGCTGAATGCCATCTGTATGAATTTTTTATTTGATTAAATACGCATACTCATAAACATGACAAAATGTTGTTCTTAATCTTAAAGTAAACATGTGAGGCTGTAACACCTTGAATTTTAACATTGTTCACTTTCAAATATTACCATTTTTGTGAAATAACTGATGGGGAAGTTTTTCCTACCCCTTTTTTAGAAAAGTTTGTTTGAAATGAATGGGAAACAACAAGTAGTTAGGCTAGTTGATTTAACTATTGTCTTCAATGCTGATAAAAAAAAAAGATTTACATATCAATCCTGCTGACTTATTTTGCTGAATATAACAACAAACAAAGTTATTTCAATCCTGAAAAAAACCTTGTTTTAATCGAAAAATGTTGGATTATTTTACTGAATTGTAAAACATTTCAAACCCTGTCAATCCTTGAAGCTTGTTTTAATTCACAAAATTTAGCTTATTTTCGCTGTGACACAATACACCTGATCATTATTTGGACACTTTCGTCACTTGACCCAAGAATTTGCAACACTTGATCTATTGACGTCATACAACATTCACTTTTATTTTGTGGCATCAGACATTCCCGCTTGTGACGTCAAATTCTTATGGGAATGACTGTGACTTCCAGTAATGGCAAACAAATAGCAATAAGGTCTATGCAAACCCTGTCATTTCCATCTGTGGAATACTTATCAAAATTATGCTTATAGTTAATAATATAGACTTGTTTTACTCAACTGTACCATGTGCAAACCTTCTTATTTCAATCTCTAAACAATCATGCTAAAATTGAATAATGTTGGCCATTTTTTCCTTAACTGTGGCAACACAAAAACATTTAAATTTCTATATTTAAAAAAATATACATTTTAACAAACAAAAAAGAAGATAAACCTAACTACTTTAAAGCTAACTGAACAATGAAAATATGGATTTTATTAGCTTTTATCACATCTTTGGTCCTCTTGTACATTTTAATAGATTATGAAGAAAATACAAATTTTTGGTAACAATTCAAACTGTTGTTTAAAATGATTTCTACAGATAAATTCTAATTTCAATTTATATAACAGTTTTAGTCTTAAAACAAGAAGACAGAATTCTAGAACTGTACTAATTGTATGAAAAATATATACCAGCAACCAAAAATATGTTAAAAAACATTTTATTAGCTTTTATCACATCTTTGGTCCTCTAGTACATTTTAATAGATTATGAAGAAAATGTAAATTTCTGGTAACAATTCAAACTATTGTTTAAAATGATTTCTACAGATAAATTCTAATTTCAATTTATATAACAGTTTTAGTCTTAAAACAAGAAGACAGAATTCTAGAACTGTACTAATTATATGAAAAATATATACCAGCAACAAAAAATAGTCCTGCTTGTTATGATATATTTGTGTGTAGTTGTCAACTTACATTTGTTCCTACTTACAGATTCCTCTGGAAATTTTGTTATAAACAATAATATAATATCTATTCCTGTTGGAATAAATATGCTATAGCCTTTATTCCGTTAGGAACAAATACTGCAATATTTCTTCCAGTGGGAATAATATTCCAGAACATTTCTTCAGTTTAAAACTAATGTTATAAAGGAAATTTTATTCCATGACAAAGTTACTGTATCAATATATATCAAGTGAATTCAATATATAAAACTGTTAACTGTTAAAATACGTAAGCAAAACCCTAGATTGAATTCAAAAGAAAAGATAAATTTCAAATAGTTTTATTTGTAATTTGCAGTCTTGGTATATAACCTGAGGTTACACCATAAAAACTAAAAAATAAATTTATAATAAACAAAGAGATTAATACTGTATGATTCTAACAATCTGAGAAAAAACAATCTTGATACACCTTGAAACAATTTTTTCATGCTGCCCATCCTTGCAAAATTTTATGATTTTTTTTACCCCAAGGTAAGCATGAAGTGTGAAAACAGGAGCTTGTTGAAACTGTTGTGCAGATCCTTAGTTTCAAATCATATGATACAACACATGCTCTGCATTTTAACAGATTATTATCAATCTGTCAAAAAACTTCCTTCAAATCATAAGACATTTATCTGCCAGTTATCAGTTTTTATATATCTGAATTCTGTCCAATAAATTTGCATTAGGGCTTCAAACTTCAAGCATTTATGTAATGTATCTTAAAGGAACACGGCGAAAACTGCCAAAAAATATCCTCATTTTGAATCTTGAAATCAATATTTAGATATGAGCAAAGGCCTTAACCAAATATTTTTTTTCTACAAGATGTCTTTTACAAAGAGGTTAACGTGGGTAACATATCTTTTTGGGTAAGGCCTTAGCTCATCTAATTTTGCCAAAATCTACATATAAATTGTACATTTAAGGGGATGGGAGGCATTCAAACCAACAATTTGTGGGTGGTTGCATTTTGTGTAAGAGTTTGTAAGAATTATATAAGTTAAATGATAACTTTATTTTATGGGTGGTTGGGGTCTAAGAAAAAAAGTGCCCCCATGCGTTTAATTCTGGAACAGCCCTAGAATTAAAGAATGCAGAATTGTATAATAACTAATCTCTATTTGATATAAATAATTATCAACTAGTGCTATCCATTCATGCCATTACAGCCTGTAAGCTTCCCCAAGGTCAGAAATCTGTTGATATGAAATATGGGATGAAAAACAAATTCTTGTTGACAAATAAATAATTAAACAAGTCAAAAACATAATAACATTTCTTATACAATTAAGCAACAGTCAAACATAAAACATGAGAACTTTTACATGCCCTCTTCTATAACACCCATTTTAACCAATAAAATAAAATTCTATAGCAAAACATAAATCTGACACATGCTCACAATGAATAAATAAATAATACATTTATTAATAAAAATATAAACATTTGGTTAATCTGAATAATCCATGGTTTTGATGTATTCTACAACAGACGAAAACTGCATCCACCAGTACTGTTCTTCTCCTTGTAATCTGTTACCGTAGAAACTGTTGACATATTGAACCGTGGATAAGAGGCATGGTGGATTAGCTTTGATAATAACGAAAATTAAGACGGGCATGAATTCATCAGCTGCTGGAACACTTTTATCATTTGCCATACTCAATAAGTTCATTATAGTTGTGGAACATCTATGGACACATTTCAGCTTGTCTTTTGGTGTCTAATAAAAAATAAAATTTATTTCTTAATTTGAAAATCACTTTTTATAGCACTGGAAGAGAAAGAGAGACAGACAGGGTTAGAGAAAGAAACTAAATTTTAACAAATACACAAGAATGCACACGTTGTTGTGCTATGCATACCCCCTAGTAATTCAAAGTATCAGAAAACAGAAAATAAGTGTCTGACATATCTGAAAAGTGCACACAGGTTTCAACTCCCCATTGATGAGATGCTGACCAAATATGAATTAATTCTGTTCAGTGGCTATATATAGTATTGGATAAATATTAAAAATATTGATACATTCAAAATAATGGCAAAGAGGAAATAGTTATCTGACAGATCCTAAAAGTGCTTGAACTTTACAACTCATCACTATCAAGCTGCTGACCAAAAATATATCACAAATGAATGATATATTTGCATGGTTCAATATAAAAATAGGAAAATAGGGTTGATTTAAATGTGACAAAAATCACATGAAATACTAAGATATAACCAAGATCAATTGAACAGCCTTTAACTGCTGTTCTCCAGCAAACAAAACGTTATGAAATGCATAGTTTCTGGTTTTGTGATGAGTAAATGGAGTAAAACGCTTTATGATTAGTTTGGAGTAAATGGAGTAAAATGCTTTATGAGAGCTAAATACATGTACATCAAAGATATACTGTCTTTCTAATTACAGCTACATAATCATTTGTCAATATAAACTGGGTTTATTAATCATTGCATGGTCTAATCATGTTGTATCTTCATTAAAATAATATCTGCTCCATGTTGTGTAACAGTGTGGTACCACAAAACAATGGGAGACAGAAATACATCATGGAACTGATCACAGCACAACAAAAAATGTGAAAGATCAGCTAGGAAAAGGTATAATTAAGTGTAATTATTTAAAATTATTTTAAACAAGGCTAAAACTTAATGCCCCTACCGCTACGGCGGGGGCATAATAACAAAAAATTACTCCTGTAGATAATTTTCAATATAGAGTAATTTCAATTGGAGTTATTTGCCTTGGCATCTATGTTGGAGGGCAAACTGGTTGATTTATTTGATGAATTATACAACTTTACAAGGCTTAATCATATTAAATTGTTAGGAAAACAACTTTAGTCTACAAACCAGTATAATAAGTTGAATTTTGTTGATTTCAGAAAGAATTTGATCCTGTCAACCTCCAACATGGTGGAAAAGGTAAATAACTCTAACTCAAATTACGTCTATCAAAAACAACCTATTGTCATAAACAAACCTTGTAAGCATTTATCATATAGATTTCTCTTTGTGCTGCTGTCCATGGACATTCAAACTGATACATTTTTGGAATCTGTAAATGTTTGTGATTTGGTGTTATAATTTGGGCTAACTTCTTTATGTGCTGGTGGAGAATCCTGAAAAATAAATGGTTTACCAATTTTAATACACATGTTTTAGGAATTTTGCTTGTGCTGCTTTTATATATGATTTCTTGGTTCTATATGCATTTAAACCAGTTCTGATAAATTTTGATATGCCACAGGCTGATTAAATTTAATGTGTGTAATTTCTGTCATATCTATTCAAAACTTATCAGCATATTTTTTTAATCATTGAAAAAACAGATTCTACCACTTTACTACAGTATTTACTAATACCAAAATTTAAAAATGCTTGGTAAACCTCATATTTCAAAGTTTAAAGGTTTAAATGTCTCCTTTAATCACATTAATTAATATTTTGTTTTATTCTAACTCATTTTAAAGCAAATTCATATATATAATCTGAAAGTAAAGGTTTTGTGTAAACTATCCAAAATTGCTAAACAAATGAACCATTATATTCAGCTTTAAATTGATGTTTTAAAACATGATAACAATAGATTTAGTCATCCCAATGGTCAAAGTACTTTAAAACAGACAAGAAAAAGATAAAAACACAGGTTTAACAAGAATGCATGCACTGACCTGCTAATCACATCCCCACTCGTAGTTTAAAGTATAGGGAAATAGGAAGTAGGTGCATGACAAACCCCAAAACCATAAATAAGCTACAACTCATCACTGTTGAGATGCTAACCAAATATGGAGATATTCTGTTCAGAAGTATAGAAGAAATGTGTGATGAATAATTCTTGTTCATTCAACATACTGATAAAATCAGCAAACGGGAAAAAGGTATCCGACAGATTGCAAAAAAAAAAAAAGCTCATACATTCCAACTTATCCCTGTCAAGCTGCTAAACAAATTTAAAGTAATTCTGTTTAGTGGTTAATGAGAAAAACGTGACAATAATATTTGTTGTACTAACAGACAGAAGAAAGGAAGGAGGGACAAAGTGATTGCAATACAGCCCCCACTCCTAGAGTGTTGGTATAAAAAATTGAACAAAAATGTGTTGATACATCAAAAATATTGTAAATCATTGTTCACTTAATACTAACAGATTTAATAAAAAAAAGTCAATGATAATAATATAAGATTGACTCACTGATCTCTCAATATATCACCATCACCATTAGGGAACATAGCATGTGTGTATATCCTACTCATAATATATCTTTCTATAGATAACCTGGCATCGTCCATTTGGTTTTCTGTTGATGCTGGAATAAATTGTCAGTCATTTATCAGAAACAAAATAAATCCAAAAATATTTTTAATACAAGTAACTAAATGTGTGGTACTTAGCACAAAAGAAATTTTAATTTGTATTGTATATATGATTATCTTTTTTTCAATTTTAAATGCCATAATTCGGTGCCTGTATATCATAGCTTCAGGCAATGAGCACAGTTCAAGAGGAGTGTTTTCTTTTCCATAATATAAGTATCATTTAAGTAGAGTGTGCTATTTTATACCAACTGATTTTCTAGACTTTTTTTTTATGAGACTTTATGAAACCTGTTAGGAAAGTTGTTTCTGAATTCGCTTTCTTGAGTGGCAGTATTCATTAACAATCAACAGCTAGCTTCCTTAGCCAGTACGTTTTGACTTTGCTTTCCATATTATGATCAGTCTTTTATTTCCTTGTTCCAGTTAGTGGTCATCTGCTGGAAGCTTGCCAGCGTATTTTTTATTTTTTTTTGGGGGGGGGGGGGGGGGGGGGGGGGTCGTGAATACGTTAAACTGGTTTAATCCCAACAAATTATGTATGTACAAGGCAGGCTATATGGAACATTTCTTGTTTGTTGTTATTGGTCTAGGTCGTCTATTTTTTCAGAGGAGTCAGGTGTTATTGGTTGGTGTTGTCTTTGCTGTCCAATATTTTTGGTAGTTCCTGTTATCCCTCTATGCATTGCATTCAGAAAATGATGATTCTTAACATTATATGCTTTTGTCTTAAACTCAATAGACAGCAAATAAATTAACAAGCTTACTCAAATGGTAACTGAAATTTTGAAAACATAAATATATACATGATATTTATGTACTGACCTTGCCATATAGGATTATTGGTCATTTGTTGATACAGAAATTGTAAGAATCTTTCTACCAAATCAGTCTGTAATAGTTAAACAAAAACACAACTACAGCAAGTGAATATATATATATTAGCCTGTTAAGTCAATTAAAAGGTTATCCACTTTCTAATATTGACTAAATCTTTCAAATGTGTAAAGGTTCTTATGAAATCAAATGTTTTCAAGGTTAATGATGCTCTTTTATCAAATTGCTATACATTCTTAATTGTGCTGATTACTCTACAGATCATATATGTCATTTTTCTGTAAATTTTCAGTCATTTTTTATGCTAGCCAATAGTGATGAACATTTAAGCATTTCTCATTTTTTCTAGAAATTTCCAGCTTCTAAAGTCCAATGTATCCAATATTCTACTCCTTCAATGTCAATATTTGCTTCACTTATTGTACATGGACACTATCAGTTTGTATGGCTTATTCCTAAATTATTTTTTGTTTCCTAACTGAAAATGCTCACATGCCATCTATGCTTAATGTAAAGAATGATATCTTTCCTAACTATATATATTCCTGGAAAAGCCATTATAAAATAATAATTTAAATAGAACTGACCACTTGCAAGAAAACATTGATAATAGATAAGTAGTTATTGATGTAAAACATTTTAGTGAAGCAATCATACCTTTTCATCTGAGACTGTTAATTTCTGGAAATCTTGTATAAAATTGACGACATAACCTTCCTTTGTTTCAATAAACAGTCTTACACATACATTCACTAGATGCTTATTGCACACAGTTTTGTCTCTGAAATAAATTCAAACGATAGTGAGATTAATAATTTACTTGCAATAAACAAGAACATTGTTCCAATGACTTTATCACTGTATATACAAACAGGTAACATATTCATGATTCAATCATAATTTCTTTTTTAATTCCAAAACCATATAAGTTTGATGGAAAAATGGATGAACACTCAGACCCTTACATAACCCTGCTGGATCAAGGTCGTGTATAAATTAAGATCATCATTAATCAGGAAATACTTGAATCACTTACTAAAATAATTGTTTATTAAAAAACTATATGTTGTTGATACATAAATAAACCATTTTAATGATATAAAGTAATCATATGGTCACCGACTTCGTTTTTTGTCTAATAATTAATCTGTTACCTAGATGGTAGTGAAAAACGTCAACAATTAATGTTTTACGGCCTTCAACGCGATGATGCTATGATTATTATGACGTTTTGTGGTATTTTTTCACATAGAACACCATTTTGAATGATGTATACTATAAAAATAAGTAGCTAAGTGACCCTATCGTTATTTTACATCATAAAAACAGAAACTTTTGTATCAACAACATATAGTTTTTCAAGAAAAATCTATGTATTAGAAATTAGAGATTGATAATTTTATGACAAATTTAAGAATTTTTTTCACCGATTTTATGTGCTTTCTATACAAATGTTCACCTATTTTGAAAGAATTCAATCAGTAATATTTCAGATGATAAAAGAGATAAATACATTATTTTTTCAATTTTCAGTTATAGCTCAATGAGCCAAAGTTGTATGCAAAATTTTAGCAAAATCTGTGAAATTGCCCATTTACTGTAACTTGACCTTAATATCTATTTTTCTGACAACTCTAGTTTATTTGATTTTTGTTTGTTTTTTTTCCTAGCTTTTTCAATTTTGACATATTAAGAATATATTTATAGGCTTCTAAACAGTACTATATAGCCCTCTCAAGTATATTTCTAACTATATTTACCTTTGTACGCGACTTAACAAGCGTTGTACATAAGACTGAGTAGCCAAGAGGCCTTGCTGACATCTTATTAAATAAGATATATATGCTGTTCTTGTCTGGTATTCATCTTTCAAAGCATTTACCAACTTCTTACACCTGAAATGTAGACATAATATTGCATGTTACACTAAATATCATTCAGGTTTAACAAGTTTTCAAATGGACAAGTTCTATCATTAAATACGCCAAACCAACTAATTTTACAAGCAATTTATTTTCTTGAGTAAAAAAATAATGTGGATATAAGTAGAAGAGAATATGTAAAATTTGGGTCTTCCCTTCTATAAATACATCATGAGAAAAACAAATATATTTTCTCAATGGACAAAACTCCTGGAACCAGGATCCCATCTAATGCCTTTATTGTATATCCTTTGGAAAAATATAAATCTGTCCGATATTCTAATATGACGCTCTTCAAACACTTTGTAAAACAAGCCATGTTCTGATTCGAACTAAACATGGGGTACACATGCTTGATGTCACAATTGAATCTACAATGTCAGTTGTATTTTGAACAACACAGGCAATTTTCTGTAGATGTTTCTCTATAGGAATTCAAACAAATCTTTTAAGCTTAAAAAGTAGGTCTGAATGTATACATTTTTAATTGTAAATGATTAATTTTCTAAAACATTTTAGCTTAATCGAATCAAAATGGCTGACTTTTTAATATGGGTAGGCATTATATATGTCAATATTAAATACCTTGCTGAAGTGCAATATAAAGATATTTATAAGTATATTATACCCACATATATATCCAATAGTACCCTTGTTAAAATGACCATAGAGCATGACATGAATGAATTATTTCTTAAATAGTTATTATATCTTAAATATTTGGTAAAGACTTTTCAACCTGATGCATTCTAGGGGAAATCTACAGAACCCCCCCCCCAAGACTGCCTTGGTGTGACATCTTATATCAATATTCTATTATAACAATATTACCCATCAAAATACTCTGCTCCGAGATGTCTTTTCCAATTGATTTAATATAATTCTGATATTTTGGGGGTAAGGTTGCTGTTCACATTTAGTTTTACCACAAACTATTCCTTAAGGATGTTTGCTACTCTGTTTTAAAATAACAAGCTTTTTAAAAGACTGTTCCAAAATGATAGTATATAAATAAAGGACCTAAAAAAGCAGAAAAAAATTAAGGGTCCGTGTGCTTGTTTTCGAGATAACAGCCATCGAAAATTTGGCGGGAAATGATTCTCTCTAGATTTTTCATACTTTTAACATTGGTCGCTTTTTGTTTCAAAAACTATGAAAAAATAACAAGGATTTTAAAAGATTTTCAAATATGGCTTTTTAAACTATATGTAATAAAATTATAAAAAGAAAAGTAGGGGTTAGCGGGCATTTTTTTTAATAGCAATACATGGATAAAATCAGAGGATTCTGAAAATCTGAAAAAAGTCAAAAACAAGAGGAGCAAACATCCTTAATCTTATCCTACATACCCTTTTGAATCAAACATTTTAATACATCTAATGGCTTCATGTAGCTGGGCTATTGACTCTTTGTTCTGTAAATTAATAGCCTCTGCTAACTGACTCCGTAGTAATAATAACAGCTCATTATTGTCTCTATGAGTATCAATTTCTTTAGGACTAGAAGGAACATACGAAAAACCAAAATCTAAAACATTTTGTCCTATATCACAGTCACAGTTACTCAACACTAAACGTAGTTTACGTTTAGCATCTAAAAATAAAACACAGTTTTCTAGGTTATTTGGATCATAGTACGGTTGACTACTTGTTTCTTCTTTAATTGATGGACGTTTTGTTGGTTGTGGTGCCTCCACTTGGCTAGCTTCGCCTGAATTTGAAATGTTACTGGCTGGCTTTGGTCTATACTTTTCTAATATGTCATCTGATGTTTCTGAAAGGACAAGATGCCATCTTAGTATAAAAATCAAATCAACAAACAATGAATTTAATACTGTCACACCTTTCAATCAAGGGACTTTCATAGACAGAAGCCCTTATGCCTTTAATAAAAGCAAATCTACTACATGTACTTGTATTTTTATCACTAAAATGCAATGCATTATGCATGCATTATAATTTTTATGTTTCAATTTTAGTTCCCATATTTGTTCATGTCCAAGAAATTTTGGCAGTTAAAAGATTGCCATTGCATGAATGGATTATATATATTGGTCAGTTTTACTTTAGAATTCAATTGAATTCTAATTTATTCAAAATGAAAGCAAGGATCATCACATTTTGCATAAATTGCGGAATGGTGTCTTGCTTTCATTTCATATAAATTTTCTAAAACACAGTATTCAACTTTTAAATTATTTACAGATTTTCAAGATAGAAAAATATATGTTAAAACTATAAACACAAAACTTCAGCTGTAATTTTCTAGTGAGATGAAAGCAGTATCATGCCATGTGAAATCTATTATAATACGTCATATAGCTGAAACTGGCATATGAAGATGTTCATTTCAAAGAAGATAGCTCATAAATAATATATCAAATTTCAATTATTATTGTACATGTATATCAAAGGATAATTATTTATTGTTATATAATTACAGTAATTATCCATATTTCAGGATATCTTGTCAATTATTTTTTTCAAATGTATTTTATTTGCAATTTTTCTATAGGCATAATCCTGTGAACAAATTACATGAACAATGCGAAAAGATTGTCTTGATTCATTAGGTACATGGAACATATACCTCTATATTTTTGGGTTGTTTTTATACAAGAAATTATAGAGCAAGTCAAAGACAAGGAAAGTTGTAGTGTTATAAAAAATATTCTGAGAAAATTTTACCATTAAAAAACTTTGCTATTAATTTTGCTAAAATTTAACATTGAACTCCCTCAGGTGAAGTTGAAAAAATTTGTGTTTTGTTTTCGGCCCTTTTATGTTTGGTAATTCCGAACCGGCCCTTTTATGTTTGGTAATTCCGAACATGTTACGTATTAATTGGCTTGGCATTTCATCGTCTTAAGATTATAAGATGATGGTTATTCCACAAAAATATTTGGAATGCACTCATGGTTTTCAAAATGCCTTCAGCTTTGAATATTCATGACAAAATAAAATTTAAGAATCTTAGTGAAATGTATTAAGCTAATTTACTCCATCGACTTTAAATCAACTGTTAGATAAATTTACCCTCCCCAAAAATGGTAAGCCATTTCTTAGTCTTCTGATGGTAAATCTAATCTGCAGTTTTTTTTACATTAAAAGGTACTTTATACTTGAAGGCGATCTGACAAACTGTGCAAATACATAAGGATTGACAGACCTATTGGCTAAAGGATGGACAAAAACATGGTACCTCTGCTCCTTTATCGTGTGGAGAGAAAGAACGATTTACCACTTTTTTTTTACCAGTTACCACTGCTCCATTATTGTGTGGAGAGAAAGAAAGATTTATCACAATTTATTTGACCAGTTTTACTCAATTATATTACAGATTTTCCGATTGCAATATGTACTTCTTCGAGTGTTAAAAAGAGACATCTAATTTATTCTGGAGAAAAATATAATATGAAAAGTTCTAATTTCTATTTATACCTGTGTGTTGATGGTAATTCTTACCTTCTTTTGAACTTTCAGGTTTCTGGGGAGTGTCATTGACAGGTAAACTACTACTGGCTAAGGAATCTGAAACATTTTAATATAAATTCAATCAACTCTATGTATCTCATTACATGTATCTACAGAATACAGGGAAACTTTCACACTTTTTTTTTTCAGCATCAGTCCTTTTGCACCAATTGTTATTTTTGAGATGTATTATTTGCACCAAATATCATTTTTTTTAAAAGGTACCAACTGCCCCAATATACGGAATTCATTTGTGCCAATTTACATCATGCATAACAACCGTAAATAAATTTTAAGTACCTATAAGAGTATAATCAATGTAATAAATGAAATGAAAGGTGAGTATAAAATCACATAGAACACGGATAAATAATTTATCGATTTGCACTTACTAAAAATATGTACATAGAATGAATACAAATTATGAAAAGATAAATTCCAGACGTAAATATTATTATTTTGTTTTGACTGTAAATAGCTTCATGTTTTAAAATGTGCTATATTAAATGACTAACTTCTCCAGAGTAAACTGCCGTTGACAGTTAACATGGATAAAGTAGGAGGAGGGAAATGTGTTTTGTTCTTAAATGGCGCAATCATAAACTTTATTTTTCTGCGCAAATGATACAATGTATTTTTGAAAACTAAAGGCGCAAACGTAGCATTGGCACAAATGAGTTGTGACGCAGAAGGACACATTTTTGGTGCAAACGGATTTCTCCCAGTTTTTCAGTTCCCCCATGAAATAAGATAATAGCACTACAATGACTCTTCATGATCAAGTTGACAGTATCAGGAACTTAGGAAAACTCACTGAATATTTAAGTTTACTTTTTATGAATTTTTCCAGTATTTAGTAAAAGTGATTCAGGGAAAATTAAATTTATACTTTTTAACTGCAAACGTTGTCCAGTGTACTATTTTAGGCCAAATCTACAACTCATGTATGAACCTGCTTTTATTTATCATAGGAACTGGTATCCACAAACACAACAAGAATTCTGTACATTTTTAACATGTCAAATGAAATAACTTTGAATAGTGAATTTAAAGTGCAATTATGTGTCTTTTTGCTTCAAAAAAATAATGACCATTTAAGAGTGACACCTCAATTTCAAATGCTATAATTAGTACATAATATAATTAGTTAATATTTAGTGTAACATATCAAAAGTTTGAGTGTAATAATGTATTATGTAACTTACCAAATGATTCATTTCTCCCAATCTTATCTTTGTTCTTCTTTCCTGAAATCAAAATAACATGAATGTTTTAAACTTTTCAAGATTGATGTAAACAAACTTTGCACACAGAACATTCATCTGAAAAAGATACTATGTGTGTTATTTCCCATTAAAATAACTTTTGAACCACATGTCAAAATAGAATATTCCTATAAAAATAAATCATATATTAAAGCATTATTTAATAAAGTTTACCTTTACTTTCCGTACACTTATCTTTTGTAATAGTTTGTCCTTTTTTAGGAAGAGAGAATAGTTGTGTCAACCAAGTAGTCTTTTAAGATCTTTTTTGATTTGCCTTGTAAAACAGTCACATTGGTATGTATCTTGAGTGTGAAAGAGCAAAATTGAACTAAATCAAATACTTTTGGTTGTTCTATGCTCTTATTAGACTTGGACTCTTTTTGTTTTGATAACTTTAGTTTTTCTACTTTCTTTTTTTTTGTAGGAAAAGGAGAAGTTTCCAAAGAGTATGCAAACATTATTCCTAAACATGAATTATTGTTTGCAAAAGTATATATATGGTAGTAATTACTTTTTGATAAAGTTTCTCCCATCACAACCAGCATGAGTTTTCTTTTAACCAACACTGTCATCAAGTTCTATTAATTTTGAAAAAAATTTCTTCATAATAAAACTTAAAACTTGATTTTCAAAATTTTAAAACCATTTTTTTTCTGTATTACTTTTTTTAGAAATATTTTCATGGACAATTCCAAACATCTCCTTTATATATCTATTCTTACCACTTCTAGTTACTTTTTCTTTAAACGATTTAAACAAACTTCTACTTTTGGTTGGAGTTCTACCTGCATCTTCTGGGTCAGCAGTATCAGCAGTGCCCTAAAAAATGAAAATGTCACCCTGTTATGCATTTCATATTCACATTTTGTTTCCTATTGATCATCAATACGAACTTCTAAGTACTGTAAATTCAGAAATTATTGCGAGGTTTTTATTAATGCGAATAATGCGACTCCATCAGTATCGCAAAAATAAGAACTCGCATTCTGAAATCTGATACACATATCTGTATGCAGATGTTTTTGAAATCGCAATAATTAATCTCGCATTTTTGTCCATTCCTCAAAAATCGCAATAATAAATGCACGCAATAATTTCTGAATTTACAGTAATACATTTCTTATGATTTGTAATAGGCTGTTCCCAGGAAAGGTATTTTGAAACCTCCACTATAATTGTCAAGTACAGTGAAAATGTAAGTGAAATTCTAAATTATCTAAATGGATGGTAACCTCATTTTGAAAGTGCCTCGCATGGGTACAATATATTTTAAATGGAATAGCCCTTACTCCCATATTCTAATGTTCATTCTTGGTTTTTATAAGTTTGCTGTCTGTAGGCTAATACAAAAGGTTGTAAATTCATTTTTGATAAGATATGCAATTAAACTATTAATATTTATGATTTAGTGGCAAATTCAAGGGTGTGTCCCCTTTAATCAGTAAAAATATAACTTTTTGACATATAAATCGTCAAAAAGTTTTTATAAGGATGGTGCCCTCATCCAACCTCGTTTCTTTGATCTGCCCCGGCTTATTGTGTCAAAAATAAAGGCTATGCAACACAATCTCAAAAGTTTTAAAATAAAGATTTAATAGGTTTTATAGGTTTGAAATCCAGCTCTACATTAAATGGCGCTTTTTGTTTTTGGTATGTAAACATTGTGACAATGTAATATGTTGATAATGGGAAAAAATAATGGATTGTTATAATTTTGCTGAAATTTATAAAGAAATTCATTTTACATACTTACATTGTACCAAGTAAATGAAAGGATGTCATAACTAACATTTTTAATATTTGAAAAAATTTTCAATCCCTCCGCCTTTTTCCTTTAATATATATAACATGCACAAGATACATTGAAAATGTTTGACAGGCAAACCCTATATTTCTAATTTCAAACCTACAGGCCTGGGGCCATTACATTGCAATGTAATGCATTACATTACAATTACAATTACATTTTTTCTCACATGTAATGCATTACATTGCAATTACTTTGCCTGTGTAATGCATTACATTACACATTACTTTTTCAATATAAAAACTAAAAACATTTAAAAAACAGATTTTTATAAGAAATTGATAAATATTACCGGGGTATATGTACATATATTTATCTTACCTCCTATACATTTCTAGGAATATGATTGGTTAAAAGCGTCCGCGTGGAGACCGTGTATATTCCATTTTAGGTTAGTAGGGAGGTGGGGCTTATTTCATACATGGTTAGTAGTGGTGTTACGTCCCTTTATAAAAACAAAATGGTACTGAGAAAAATCTTAAAGGTTTCAACAGACGAAGAAATTGATGATGAAGATTGAAATAAATTCATGCAACACATTTAAACCTAACAAATTGTTATTGTTGGCATCTGTTTTTGTAGGATCAATGGAAGTAGTTTCTTAATGCTAACAGTATTGAAGACTTGCTCATTTTGATAGGTCACTAGTCTAAATTTCACACGTTAAGATAGTCGGTAAGATAAATTCGTTACATAGTGTGCTAGTGACGTAATACGGTATATATGGGGTCAGTAAATTCCATATGGGGATTCGAGCTTCGCTCTCACCCCATATGAAATTTACTGACCCCATATATACCGTATTAGGTCACTAGCACACTATGTAACTAATAATACAGTGTACATGTTAGTGACATAGACTTCAAATACTTGAAAAATAAATTAATATCATATAATTTTGTTTCTAACATTGACCACTTAATCATTTAGACATCATAAAGGGATTTCAAAGGGATATAATAAATGTGCAATTTTGAAACCTATAAAACCTATTAAATGTTTTGACAATATATATTATATATATATATATCTAAAATACACTCCTGGCAAAATATAGACAAATTCTTTAATTAAAAAAAACTTTTTGATGATTTATATGCAAATAAAATGCTCTGCTGGGCGCAGCTTGATACGACCGCAGAGGTCAAACCCTCAACAGTTGGGGCAAGTATGGACACAACATTCAAGCTTGATACAGCACTGAATTTGGATTGTGATTAAATATTTGACACAGCACAGGTTTCTGACACAGAATGAATGTGGTCTAAGTACTTAAAATTTTTAATTTACCTATTCAAACCATATCATTATTATTTGCTTTTATATATAAATCAGAAATAACCAATTTAAAACGGAAAATTTTAAAGAAAAAAAATTCCCCCCCCCCAATTTTTTGAACCCCCTTATGATTCATCACCCCCAAACTCAATCCCAGCCTTCCCTTTGTGGTATGGTACCTGCAGTACAATTTCATAAAGATCCATACACTTGAACACAAGTTATTGTCTGGAAACTAGAAAAATGCTTGTTTTTTGGCCCCTTTTTGGCCCCAAATTTCTAAACGTTTAGGGCAATTACCCCCAAACTCAAACCCAGCTTTCCCTTTGTGATATAGAACCTTGTAGTACAATTTCATAAAGATCCATACACTTACACACAAGTTATTGTCCTGAAACTAGAAAAATGCTTGTTTTTTGCCCCTTTTTCGCCCTTAATTCCTAAAATTTTGAAGCAATTACCCCCAAAATTAACCTCAGCATTCGCTGTGTGATATGGAACCTTGTGGTACATTGTCAGAGAGATCCATACACAAACACACAAGTTATGTCTGAAAGTTACAAAAATGCTTATTTTTGGCCCCTTTTTGGCCCCTTATTCCTAAACGTTTTGGGCAATTACCCCCAAACTCAATTCCAGCTTTCCCTTTGTGATATGGAACCTTGTAGTACTAGTACAATTTCAGAAAGATCCATACACTTACACACAAGTTCTTGTCATGAAACTAGAAAAATGTTTGTTTTTTGCCCCTTTTTTGGCCCCTTATTCCTAATATTTTGAGGCAATTACCCCCAAAATCAACCCCAGCATTCCCTGTGTGATATGGAACCTTGTGGTACAATGTCAGAGAGATCCATACACAAACACACAAGTTATGTCGGAAAGTTACAAAAATGCTTATTTTTGGCCCCTAATTCCTTAACTGTTGGTACCATAACCCCCCAAATCAATCCCAACCATCCTTTTGTGGTATTGAACCTTATGGTAAAATTTCGTAGAGATCTATTTACTTAAACTAAAGTTAGAGTGCGAAAACCAATGTGTCTTTGGACGACGACAACGACGACGACGCCAACGTCATACCAATATACGACCGCAAATGTATAAAAAGTTATATTTCTAGTTAATAATGTAAATCCAGAAATTATTGTGATGATTTTATTATTACAATAAACTGCTTCGCTGAGCGCAGCTGGATACGCTGCAGAGGTCCAACCCTGAACAGTTGGGGCAAAAATGGACACAATATTCAAGCTTGATACAGGTCTGAATTTGGATTGTATTAAATATTTGACATATTATAGGTTTCTGAATAAATGTAGTCAAAGAACTTGAAATTGGTTATATGAATTGAATTTATATTCAATTACCGTTAAAAGGCTTGTATAGTCCGCGGTTTTATTCTCCAAAATTGAACCTGCCAGCAGGGTGCGACTATAGAGTACAATAAGCAAGAAATAAGAGAAAAAAATCAATTTCGCGAGGTGGTTTATTTTCGTTCCGCCATGTTTGTTCTTGATATTGTAGAGGGCGCTATTATCATTTTTCAAACTTATAATTTTACCTAATCCATATTGATAAGTTATTATTATTCCATATCAAATTAATATTGATAAATTTAAAAATTAAACGCTTCATAACAAATTTCTTGTTTCTTTTCAATGAATTGCTTATAAAATAAACTGGTATCTGCTTGAATGAAACTGTACAAAAAAAGTAAAAAAGACAACCGTAAACCAGCTTACGATGTGTAAATTACAAAACGTAATCGGTTATTATACGTTCCGTTTTGGTGTTTCATAGTGACTTATATGTTATTTATTAGTTTAAAACCCTTCAAACATTAATGTGATAGATACATGTATATTTAACACTATTTTACATCAGGATGGAATTGTTTTACTTTCAAAGTCGTATTATATTGATATCTAGTATGTACAGATTTCGACTCTCACCGTTTTTTCTCTTCTTTTACGTGTGCTTTTCAAACTTCCGGTTTAAACATAACAAGTTTCTTAATTGTTTTTTGTGTGATTTAGACTTATTTTAACAATCGTGAAGGCTTTTAGAATCATTTACAAGCAGTTTCAGTTTCTGTTTGTTGATGGAAAATAGTTTTTCCAAGAAAATACCGCATACACCCACACACGATTTGAAATAACCGGAGTTTGATCATCAGACCTTTTCTAACAGTTACAAAAAGTTTTTTTACCAAAAATTTCGTGGGGAGAAGGGGGTGCGGACTATGTACCAGTGCGAACTATACAACCCGATTACGGTAAAGATTTCTTGCTGTTGTGCAATACACTGTGCTGTTGCGCAATACTTAGTAAATCTGTTGTCAGACTATAAACAAATAAAGTTCAATTAATTCTCAATGTCATATTAGAAATTTATGAAAATGTAAAGGGAGCTTACATCAATAGATATAAACAATTCACCAAAGTTTCATGAGAATTGCTGACAGCATTTTTGAGTTATTGTCCGAAAACTGGGAAATCCCCCCTTTTTTTTAATGAATAAAACCCCATAACTTAGAAATGTAAAATGTAAAATTTATAAAATTCTAAACGGAGCTTACATCAATAGATATAAACAATTCACCAAAGTTTCATACGAACTGCTGAAAGCATTTTTGATTTTTTGTCAGAAAACTGGAAAATCCCCCTTTTTTTATGAATAAAACCCTGTAACTCGGAAATGTAAAATCTAAAATATATAAAAATCGAAAGGGAGCTCATGTCAATAGATATAAACAATTCACCACAATTTCTTGCAAGTTGGTGAAAGCATTCTTGAGTTATTGTCCGAAAACTGGAAAATCCCCCTTTTTTTAATGAATAAAACCCCATAACTCGGAAATGTAAAATCTAAAATTTATAAAAAACGAAAAGGAGCTCACGTCAATAGATATAAACAATTCACCAAAGTTTTATGCAAATTGGTTAAAGCGTTTTTGAGTTAATGTCCGACATGTTGACGACGGACGGACGGACAGACGGACAGAGGTATACCATAATACGTCCCGTAAACGGGCGTATAAAATTTGTCACAGGTTATGGTTAGAAAAAAATAAAAACCTGCATTTTAAATTTTGATCGCATCATTTGTATGCAGTCTTCTCTGAAATTATAATATTTAATATTAATATTTTAATATAGATCTCTTATTTTTATCGATGAAAAATCTAGAAGCAAAAATTGTCAGATTGTAGGTTTTCAAATGCTTATATCTCAAAAACATGTACACAAACCTTTCCTTATATTTCCAGAAATTTGATGTACTAAACATTCCTACCTGAATAAGACTTTTATTGTAAAAATGTTATTTTGAATTTTAGCAGCACACAATTTAAATGAAAATTATTTGTCTCAACTAAGTTACTATTTGTTTGCATGATGATTTTCAGCATGGCTTCATGAAATTCTTGATGGCTACCTCATTGAACAGACCTCTTTAGCATTTCATTTAGAAAATTAATCAAACCTTTTCTTCTGATTTCTGTGAAATGTTATCAAAGCTTGCTGATCGTGATGACTTAGCAAATGGTACATCATCTCCCGAATTCCCCGACCCAGCACTACTACTATCGTCATTAAAATCGTTGGCTGCTAGAAGGTCCACAGAGTTATCACTCTTACTTGGAATAGGAAACATTGTATCATCAATAATAACTGTTTCTCTTTTATCTTTATTGGAACTACTCCTCTTGTTCAGTACTGATCTCATGATGTCTGTGTTGTTGGTTTCAGAATCATCAAGACTAATCAGCGTCTGATCTTCCTCTGCATTTTCATTAGAAACTGGATCAAACATACTGAGGGCTAACGAAAGCCTATTGGCATCAAACTTTGTGTTTTGTTGTTCACTGATCTTTAAATTGCCAGTTTGCTCACTTAATGAGGCAACCTCTGACCTAGAATTGCCATCTATACCAGAGTCTGACCGAGGTGTACCGATTCCTGAATCCACAGAATTAGCCTCTAAATTGGATATTTTTCCTCGTCTCTCTACTGGAAGAACCTCACCAGAACCACTCTGATTGTCAAACAATGGATATGTGGCTCTTTGTTGAACTTTTGGACGAGCACCTTGGCTGATCGATGTTTTGACCAAGTCGCCATTAGATGACCCAAAATTTTCCGATTGTACATTTCTAACACTGGTTTCAGGGACGGCAAATGATAAATTTCCTGGAGAATTTTTTAGTTTTTGTTGGAATCTAGTATGTTTTGATGTCGATGGAAGACTCAATTTATTGGAATTGGCACTGTCATTGGTTTTATCATCCCCATCAAACACATTATCTACATTCATTTGTACAGTTTTCGGTCTCTTCTTTTTCAAAAATCTACTTGTGAAACTTCCAGCATTTGTCAGCTTGCTGTCACTGGGTCCATGTCTATAGCTATCATTATCATGGAAATAATTTGGGAAATCTGCAAATGAAACACTTGCTTCTGCTGATGGTAAATTGGCCTCATTACTACTTTTGTTTTGTTTATTTAGCACTGAAGTGGCACCATTAGCAGCTGTATCAAACTTTTCCAACTGATTTTCTGGAGTTTCTTGACCTATTAAAAAAAAAAAGAAAAAAAGAAAGATCTGAATATTTCATTAATCTATGTAAATAACAATTATAATGTTGTATATGGAACAAACTCTTATAGAATACAGTAAAATCGGAAATTTTTTGTGATGGGTTTATTTTCGCTACCTTCATAATTTGGTTTAGTTCTATTCTTTTTCCTAAAGGAATCAAAGACGTTGTGGTTGTCATGCTGATATCGAATGCAATTTTAAAAGCTACACCTTTTTGAGTTATGCTCAATCTTTCTAACAACTATCAGACATTTCCACTGTTGAAAATTCAGTACTATGCAGACAATCCATGCAGTCAATTCAGATCTAAATAAACTATTTTCAGAGACGTTGTTAATCTGTGATTAAGAAAAAACTGATTTAGAAGTGAATGCACAAATCTTGATTGATGGCATACAAAACTGCTGAACAATACAGGATTTTCTACAAAAGATATTACCTGAAAAAGCTTACAAATTTCACAACACTTTTGATCTTACAATTGTTTTTTTTTAACAAAGAACGGTATTCGGTCAAAAATTCATTGGACATTTACAGAATTAGTTTAAAATCCTGCTTATTTGGTTACCTCACAATTTTTGGGGGGATATGTGTTACTGATGCCATCTCAATAATCATTATCCTTTTAAATCTAACAGTAGGAAAAGAATTACCTGAAGCTAGGGGAGTATCTTCTTGTATTAGGAAAAGAATTACCTGAAGCTAGGGGAGTATCTTCTTGTATCAGGAAAAGAATTACCTGAAGCTAGGGGAGTATCTTCTTGTATTTCTATATTACCATGTTCACCAGAGACTGAAGAAACATCGGTCATTACACTGCCAATGTCATCCTGTATAACAAATATATTCCGTTAAATGAAAACATCATTTCTCAGTTAAAAGATTTTCTTTAAAAAAAAAAACTTTTACACAAATATGACAAGAATAGTGTCTTTGTAAGCTGTTTTCCACTTTAATGGTCACCTGGGGCTCTTTTCACAAAAAATCTTACGATTAAAATTGATCTGAAGTTATACTGAAATGTTCATGACTTACAAGTGTTTTTACTCGTAAGATTTCTTGTGAAATCAGCCGCAGCATTTTAATTTAGTGTTTATAGTGCATTGAAAGTAAAAAATAGCAACTTATTCTAATCCCTCTGTACTTTGAGGGACAAACAGCATCCCCTCTGACAACATTTTACCTGGTTATTATTTGTACAACAAACTGGGACATTTGTTAAAGAAAGTACTTTGGGACTTGAACATACAAGTTTCTCTAATAGCCTATAAAACATTGTTTGACACATTTATTTTCATCTTATTTTTTTAAATAAAGAGGAACTTTGCTAATATGATGCAATGTTATGTAAAAAATCATGGAAAATGTCCAAACAGCCAGTCATATAGTCTTTTAGAAAAAAAAAATCTGGTTTAACCCTGCCACATGTTCATGTACCTGTCACAAGTCAGAAATACTGTCAGTGGTTGTCATATCTTAATGTTTTTGTCCTTTAGGGAATTTGCAGTTGATGGCAGAAATTTTATTGTAAATGCTATATTCAAAACTTTTCTAGACTCTGGGCAATTTAGAGCCTGACAAATTCCACATGAACACATTTGTTAAAGATGCTATGTTCATCTCTAATTTTGTTCTAATTTTGTATGTCATTGGGTCGATTTCTCATTTGATATATACCCCACATTTTTTCTTATTCTCATCATTAAAAAGATTTTGGTAAAAATATAAACCTGATCAAATTCTGATAATTCTTCTGCTTGTTTATCTTCATTATCACTAGCAAGTACATCTGTACTCCAGGCATCACTTGCTGTTTCTGATAGTTCTGATAATGGCTGGAATATAAAAAAGTGTTTTAAATATTTAACATTACAGTAATTTATAAATTTTAAAACAGTCTTAATTTTCTACAGAAAATGTAATGACAGTGGACTCTTGTTATCACGAAGTCAGCCGGAAAAGAGTGTCATAAATAAATACAGTGATCAATGACGGGAAATTTAAGTACAGGTGCAATAATAATCAGGTTAATTCATCAATCCATTTAAATCCCTGAGGTCATGTTTTGACATATGTGTATCGTATGAGAAAAAAAATGCAATTTAAATGCTTTTGTTAACCTTGTGACCGAAAATTTTGTTCAAGTCAACTGAAATTTCGTCGATATACATATATTCATATAGAACAAAGTTCGGGACATCAGGAAAATTTGGACTCATCGGAAATTTCGAGTCAACCGAGTACGAGACAATGAGAGTTAACTGTAGTTATTAATGACTTTCTTTAAACATTACAATTGTCAATAATCTATTGTCTTTTAATATAAGTGCTTGATACAATGATTTCAATGCAAATGACACATGATTCTGGAAAATTCTTCATCAGAATTGCAGGAGATCAAAAGTTTTTGATGTTGAACACTGAACACTTAAAATATTCAATCATAACAAGGATATACAAGAGTGCACGCGCTGAAATGTCTCGCCTTCTTTACTAACCATTGATATTATGTTGATAGTCCTAAATGAAAGCTTTACTACAACTATTACATAAACTTAACATGATCCAAGAAAATGAGGTCAAGGTCATATAAACCAAACGAGAAATACATGTACACCTTACAATCATTCAATACACTAAATATAGTTGACCTATTGCTTATAGTTTCTAAGAAACAGACTTAACCAAGAAAACTAAACATTGACCAATGAATTGTGAAAATGAGGTCAAGGTCAGATGAACCATGCCAGGCAGACATGAACAGCTTACAATCCTTCCATACAACAAATATAGCTGACCTATTGCTTATAGTTTAAGAAAAACAGACTGAAACACATAAACTTAACACTGAGCAATGAACCGTGAAAATGAGGTCAAGGTCAAATAAAACCTGCGAGACTGACATGTACATCATAGAATATTTCCATACACCAAATATAGTTGACTTATTGCATATAGTATAAGAAAAAAGACCAAAACTCAAAAACTTAACTTTGACCACTGAACCATGAAAATGAGGTCAAAGTCAGATGACACCTGCCAGTTGGACATGTACACCTTACAATCATTCCTTACACCAAATATAGTAGACCTATTGCATAAAGTATAAGAAAAATGGACCAAAACACAAAAACTTAACTATAACCACTGAACCATGAAAATGAGGTCAAGGTCAAATGACACCTGCCAGTTGGACATGTACACCTTACAATCCTTCCATACACCAAATATACTAGACCTATTGCTTATAGTATCTGAGATATGGACTTGACCACCAAAACTTAACCTTGTTCACTGATCCATGAAATGAGGTTGAGGTCAAGTGAAAACTGTCTGATGGGCATGAGGACCTTGATAGGTACGCACATACCAAATATAGTTATCCTATTACTCATAATAAGAGAGAAATTAACATTACAAAAAATCACAACTTTTTTTTCAAGTAGTCACTGAACCATGAAAATGAGGTCAAGGACAATGGACATGTGACAGACGGAAACTTCGTAACATAAGGCATCTATATACAAAGTATGAAGCATCCAGGTCTTCCACCTTCTAAAATATAAGGCTTTTAAGAAGTTAGCTAACGCCGCCGACGCCGCCGGATCACTATCCCTATGTCAAGCTTTCTGCGACAAAAGTCGCAGGCTCAACAAAAATTGAAAAACAGCAAAGATTGTTTAAGCTGATAGTTGACCATTTCTTAAAAATTTAAACCCTTAAGAACTTCTTCCTTAAAACTGAATGCAGGCTGTTTTTGACTTCAATGTTCTGATAGATCTGAAACTATCCTTCTGTATCATTAAGCAATTTTCCAAGACTTACATCACCCTTTCAACAAAATACACATTTCACATAAGATGAATGTGTCATATCAACTAAATTTGATACTCTTATAGAAAACATATTTTCCTTGTATCTATGGTGCACATCTTCCTTTAGGAAATGACTAAATCAATCTTACAGTAAGATAATGACAAAATACCCAACCATCAGGGCTCTTAATCTGTGATACTTTTCCCTAAATTTCCTCCAGCCTTTAATACTACTTGCCTCATTTCTGGCCAGTAAACTCTGTCTTACAATTTCTTCTCCTATCTCCTCTAGTCTATCATACTGGTTTTGTTCTGGAGGTTCTGAGTCACTAGCTAGTACATCTGTACTCCAGGTATCACTAACTGTAGATTTAGTCTCATCTACTGCAATAGCAAAGAATTCTATTCTTATCTAAAATTATGAGATAATGGATTCTAATATTGTATATATTCATAAAATTTTGCAATGTTTTTATTAAATTTGTGAAATTTACAAGATAGATTTTGCCATGAAAAAAAGAGACTTGTATAATTTACGGGATAGGTTGTGCCCTAAAAAAAAGAGACTTGTATAATTTACAGGATAAATTGTGCCCTAAAAAAAAGAGACTTGTATAATTTACGGGATAGATTGTGCCCTAAAAAAAAAAGACTTGTATAATTTACGGGATAGATTGTGCCCTAAAAAGAGACTTGCATAATTTACGGGATAGATTGTGCCCTAAAAAAAAGAGACTTGTATAATTTACGGGATAGATTGTTCCCTAAAAAAAAGAGACTTGTATAATTTACGGGATAGATTGTGCCCCCCAAAAAAGAGACTTGTATAATTTATGGGATAGATTGTGCCCTAAAAAAAGAGACTTGCATAATTTACAAGATAGATTTTGCCATGAAAAAAAGAGACTTGTATAATTTACGGGATAGATTGTGCCCTAAAAAAAGAGACTTGTATAATTTACGGGATAGATTGTGCCCTAAAAAAAGGAGACTTGTATAATTTACAAGATAGATTTTGCCATGAAAAAAAGAGACTTGTATAATTTACGGGATAGATTGTGTCCTAAAAAAAAGAGACTTGTATAATTTATAGGATAGATTGTGCCCTAAAAAAAAGAGACTTGTATAATTTACAGGATAGATTGTGCCCTAAAAAAAAGAGACTTGTATAATTTACGGGATAGATTGTGCCCTAAAAAAAAGAGACTTGTATAATTTATGGGATAGATTGTGCCCTAAAAAAAGAGACTTGTATAATTTACAAGATAGATTGTGCCATGAAAAAAAAGACACTTGTATAATTTACGGGATAGATTGTGCCCTAAAAAAAAAGAGACTTGTATAATTTACGGGATAAATTGTGCCCTAAAAAAAAGAGACTTGTATAATTTACGGGATAGATTGTGCCCTAAAAAAGAGACTTGTATAATTTATGGGATAGATTGTGCCCTAAAAAAAGACACTTGTATAATTTACGGGATAGATTGTGCCCTAAAAAAAGAGAGACTTGGATTTTTAATTTTGCATTATTGTTTATAATTAATCTCACATTTTTGATGTTTGTCCCTCATTCATCAATCGCAATAACAAATGCATACAAAAATTTCTAAATTAGCAGTATTTGCTTTGCATTAATCTTCTATTTAATAGTAACAAACTTAATTTATTGGTATGCCTATTGTAAAATACAATACTTTGATATCCATCCTGATTCAAATAAGAAAGTTGTATGTAAAGTTTTATTAATGCTAAGTTATCTAGACTGTACACATGGTGAAAGAATATACAAGTAAGTGGTAAAAATCTTAAAAATCCTATAAGGCCATATGATTGATATGAATTATACTCATGAGTTAAGCAATGTGAAATTCTATCTTACAATATTATTATCTGTATCTAAATGAATATGGTTGTACATTTTACATTGTTTCTGTAATTTTGAAGGCACAATAAAAGTGTCAACTTCTATACTTCAATCAGTTCAATTTCCTGTATATTTCATTTACAATGGGAAACCCTAAAAATAATTTGAATGAGAATTATAACAGGACACATTATGTAAGAGAGATTCTGTGAAAGTGTAACAGGTATAACATGCAGATGATGAATTAGCAGGCAACCAAACAAATAGACACAAAATACCACTATACACCCTCTTTCACTAGCCATGGATATAATAAGATGATTGCAAATAGAAAACTATACTTCGGAGATCAAAGACAGCAAAGTCGTCATAATAAACATATCTTTTCTAATTTAATTCTTTCAGACTGGAATATCAACCAAATTTATCCTTATTTTTTGTTCATTTGAAACAAAAACTCTTTAAAGTAGTGTTTTAATTGTGTCTAATAATGATTCATTTCCTGCATAATTCTTAAAAAAGCCTGATCTTAAACATAATTTTTAGAAAGCCTTGTACTTTGACACAAACATGTTTCTTACCGGGAAATTCATTTTTAATTTCAAATTTTCCAAATCTCTCAGTAACATCTTCCCTGTTAGTCTTTGGTACAGTTACAGGTAACTGAATTGGTTGTATAGTTTCCTGCTGTAACTGATGGGCAGGTGCCTCTACACTGCCAGCTGGAGAAGGGGGTGTGTCTCTTCCACTGATATTAGGTGTGCCACGCCCACTGACATTTGCTGAGATCATGTCAGAGAAGTTGTCATCTGGGTCATCATCATTTTCTAAGTCTACAGAGCCTACAGAGTGACTAGATGCTCCCTCTGATATTGCCTCCTGTAGGTCACTGGTGTTACCTAGAACATAAAAGAAATAATAACTATTGTGTACAAGTCTCATAACATTTGGTTGAGGCAAACTTAAGTTAGAGAACGGAAACGAAAAAATCAGCAATTTTTCCATTTGTAAAGGGGCATAACTCTAGAACGGTTAAAGCGACACCACTTAAATCCAAACTTGATCAGTATTTTGTTGTAATAAGCATTTTGTATAAGTTTCATAGCATTTGGTTGAGGCAAACTAAAGTTAGAGAAAGGAAACGAAATATTCAGCAATTTTTCCATTTGTAAAGGGGCATAACTTTAGAACAATAAAAGTGACACCCCCAAAATTCAAACTTGATCTGTATTTTGTGGTAATAAGCATTGAGTATAAGTTTCATACCATTTGGTCGAGGCAACCTAAAGTTAGAGAAAGGAAACGAAAAATTAAGCAAATTTTCCATTTGTAAAGGGGCATAACTCTAGAACAGTTAAAGTGACGCCACCAAAATTCAAACTTGATCTGTATTTTGTGGTAATAAGCATTGTGTATAAGTTTCATACCATTTGGTTGAGGCAAACTAAAGTTAGAGAACGAAAACGAAAAATTCAGCAGTGACGCCACCAAAATTCAAACTTGATCTGTATTTTGTGGTAATAAGCATTGTGTATAAGTTTCATCACATTTGGTCGAGGCAATCTAAAGTTAGAGAAAAGAAACCAACTTTACGGATGTACAGAAGGACAAGGGTAAAACTTAATGCCCCCTCTGATACAGCGGGGGCATAATGACAATTACTGTGGATTCATTTATTTTCGTGGGTATCAATTTTCGTGGATAGAGAAAAAAAGACGTTTCGTGGTATACGTAAATTCGTGGAACGCTGATTACAAAAAAAAAACAAATTCAGATACGTAATTCGTGGATTTCTTTTTGATTTAGATCATATAACCTCCTTGGTTTGATCAATAATAAAACAAACAAAAAAGAAGGAATTCATTGAAAAAGTTTTGAATTGTCAACATCCTCGCTTGGTCATTCTAGGTTAAAGTGTCTATGACAATAATGGATAGAGACAACTAATTATTTGTTTGTTTTACAATTTATAAATTCTTGTCGGAATTTTATAAGGCATTCAAAACTCTATGATTAAAAGCTCATTTCCCTAATCACGATATAATAAACAGTCATATAAGTAAAAGATGTGAAAATAAATGTTCCTGTCAAAAACAATATTACCTAAGGGCAATATCCCCGTACTTAATCCTATTGATTTTTAATCACCAGTAAACCAAACTATGACACGGTAATTAACAACTTGCAGTTATTTTCCATGAACAATTTTAATCAATTTTAAAAAGAAAATTATCACTGATATTCGATATATTTATTATTGATTTAATCAAAATACTTGTATCTTCATTCAATAAAAACATGTGTTATGTTACAATGTTTATCGCTAGTCAACACTATACTAGAATTGCATAACATAACTGGAAATAAACATCTGACTCTATACACATTTCTCAGGATTATTCTTCATTGAATTCTTAAATTCGTGGTTCGCTGTGACCCGCGAAACCCACGAAAATTGGTATACCACTAATAAAAATGAATCCACAGTAGATAAAGAGGTGATTATTAGAAAGTCTAATCTTCAGTGGTAGAATAATTGTTGTCAGATGGACAATACTGTAAACCAATATAAATCGTCGAGAATATGTAAAACTTGTTTTCTTTTTTAAACTACATCAAGTTAATTAGAAAATCGCAAAATTAAATAGCCACGAAGTGGACTAGAAAGCTTAAAACGCGAAAAAAAGTATCCACGAAAATAAGTTGGTTTACAGTATACAATGCTGATGGATATGAATTCATAGAATCATCTTTCTGATGCTAAAGGAAATGGGTTCAATTCCTGACCAGGCCAATCAAAAGACTTCAAATTAGTAGTTGCTGTATTAGCACACAGCTTTCATGAATAAGAGAAGAATGGTAGGCTTGTAAACAAAATTATAGATAAGGGTGGGGTTACATGTCTTAAAAGTGACTGTTACTATGTAATCTAGCATGTTAAAAATTTGCACTTGTGGGTTCAGTCTAGTACAAAGCAGGATTCATATTGATATCCTATTAATATGGTCAAATTCTGAATATACCTTCAATATTTGCCACTGGACATTAAATATCCATCTTTAGTTTGAGAACAAATGAAAGAATAGAGTTCCAATGTCCCCCGCACTGCACATATTTTATCTATTTAAGGTACAAGGGCAATAACTAAAAAAAACACTTTTTTTTCGTTCTTTAAAACTTTTTATTAATATCTTAGAGAAATGAAGGCTTCAGAGCAAATGCCGTGTGATTTCCATTATAATTCATATTACCAAGGGGCATAACTCTTTTAAAAATAAGTGATCGGCACTGATTTTCGAATTTGTCCAAGAAATTGCTGATATTAACCTATGATATAAGTTTTATAAAAATCTGGCAAGAAAAGAATTGTACACGTGATAGCACTAACAAGACTGGATGTTCGGACTGATGCCCGGTATTTCTAAATCTCCCTCAACGTGTTGAGCGGGGTACAATAAAAGCATTTTCCATTCCATTATCTTAGATAATTATATTTATATATGATGAAAATGATGTATTGATTGTTGGTTATTTAACAACCAGTTGGAAATATTTCTTGCATTTTCAGGCAGATGATGAAAATGAAATCTTTTAGATGATCCTGAGTTGTCTTTTTTTAAATGGTTTGTTTTGTGTTTTTCATAGATTAAAAACTATCCAAAGCCACTAAAAAGATGCTTTTGGTGCTTAATTCATAAAACCTGATATATCAAATATATCATAATTAACTAAACTATAAAATGTGTTTCTTCTTTTACATTTTCACTGATACTTTTACAAATATGTTTAATGCAAACAATTGGGTGATTTCATACACATGTATCTAAAAAAGGTCAATCTGTTTTTTCCTTATTTTTTATTGTTACTATGATCCCAAATTCCATAAAACTCATTGGGCTTACAAAAGATATGGCCAATATAACCAATATCTATTTGACTTACAAAGTCATCATATTAGAACAAAAGAAACCTTGTAGAATTTGAATTTCAAAAACCATTAATAATATTACTTGAAATATTATCTATTAAATAATTATACATATATTCATATAAAAATTAATATGTAACTAAAGCGCTGTATTTTGATGTTGAAGATTTCCAGTTTTTACATGTCTGTGTAAGATTTTGCATCAATGGACATCCATTTTCAAATAAATAAATTTATCTTAAGACAATACAGCTACTCAGTTCTAGTTAATAAAGTCTGTATTCACCTTTTTGATAAATATTCAAACTTTTCAAAAATGTTCCATACTTCAGTATTGAGCAATCTTTAGGCATGCATCATGTTTATAATTTTGTTAACTATTTAGAAATACTAAATAATACTGTTACAACCTCAAAGTACACACAGGAATCAGTGATATTTTAGTAGAGATTGAAAGACTTTTCAAACATGGCTCTATAGTGTGAAATAAATTCTGGTGAAATAGGCCTCACCTCTTGCTCATTTCAAAATATAACAGCTATTTTGAAAGAAATGATGAAGGCACCTGAACATTGCTGAAAATCATTTTTTTTTTTTTTATAGATTTCAACATATCTCACATTGAAATCAAAGAACGAGTATGACTAGCTATCAACTAGGTTAATCACCAAATTATAACTTAAGTTACAAATGCAGATTGTTTAATATTTTGATTTTGTACAAATTTACAGGTTAAAAAATAAATTTTAAGAGAAAAAGAGGGTGAATTAGAACATTTAATCACTACAGGGATAGCCATGCTACAAGGATAAGATTGTAATGAATTTTTCAAATAAAACAAGAAACTCAACATACACTGTAGAAGAGGTGCATTAACTTTGATGAACATATCTATTCTGTTATTACCTACGGATTTCTGTTATTACCTATGGATTTCTGTTATTACCTATGGATTTCTGTTATTACCTATCTGTTATTACCTATGGATTTCTGTTATTAACTAAGGATTTCTGTTATTACCTATGGATTTCTGTTATTACCTATAGATTTCTGTTATTACCAATAGATTTCTGTTATTACCTATGGATTCCTGTTATTACCTAAGGATTTCTGTTATTACCTACCTGTTATTACCTATGGATTCCTGTTATTACCTAAGGATTTCTGTTATTACCTATCTGTTATTACCTATGGATTTCTGTTATTACCTTTGGATTTTTGTTATTACCTACGGATTTCTGTTATTACCTATGTGTTATTACCTATCGATTTCTGTTATTACCTACGGATTTCTGTTATTACCTATGTGTTATTACTTAAGGATTTCTGTTATTACCTATGGATTTTTATTATTACCTATGGATTTCTGTTATTACCTATCTGTTATTACCTATGGATTTCTGTTATTACCTATAGATTTCTGTTATTACTATGGATTTCTGTTATTACCTATAGATTTCTGTTATTACCTATCTGTTATTACCTATGGATTTCTGTTATTACCTACGGATTTCTGTTATTACCTATCTGTTATTACCTATGGATTCTTGGTCCTGAGACAATGAAAACCTTGTTCTTTTTTCACCTGGTTCTGCACTAGCCACATAATTAGATATCCCTTCATGGTACGTCACTTTCCTGCGTTTATTTTCTTGTTCCCATGACAACACTTTTTGTTCAGAGAGCATGCCTGGACATTCTACATCATTCCCAAGTGATATGACAATAACATCTTCAACCTGTGTTATACTGCTCTCATCTTTATTCTTTTTAGCTAAAAATATATTTCAAATGTTTTCTATTTCATTTTTAACCCACCAGAAACTTGTCGTGTTATTGTCATTATCTTTTATTTTTTATAATTGCCATATAAATTCACTTACTATATATTTAAACAATTTGTTTTTCTATAATCTATAACTGCTGTTTATTATTAGTAACTTTCATACATGTTTAACTTTGAAAACTGGATACCATTTTAAACCACTTGCCACTATCAAAATATCATGTTCACATACAACAGGAAAATTCATGAACGTTTTAGCTATATATGCTAGCATGGTTAGCTACTATGGACTCATCAATCTTTGTGGATACCAACTTTTGTGAATTGAGGAAAAAAATGTATTTTCCTCTATATTGGATTATGTTGTTTTAATTTGTTTAAGTCTGCATACAAAGCTTTGACCTGATTGATATTTACAGCTTTGACTCTAGATCTTAGCATTCTTGTTGAAGGGAAAAAAATCCAAAATGTGCACTGTAAAATACAAAACAGGTACATTTCTTTTTGGCTAAATTACAATTGAAACAAATATTTATAAAACACCTAAACATCCAGGCATTACTTGACAGGTGCCTCAAAAATGTCTGATGTCTTAAGATTGTAACCATTCCTATATGTACTTTTTACTGTCTCCTTTTCCTTCTTTTTCTCTCCCTTCCTTTGGCCTGATGGTGTACCTGGAGGGGTTCCAGCAGGGGTACCTGATTGATTGGTCTGTGAGGAATTATTTAACAAGGGTGGTAATCCATTCATAGCTTCCTCAATCTGTTTCCTTTCTGGTGAATCGTCTTCACCATTTTGTACCATGTTGCGGAAAAAAATTACCTATCAATGTAGAAAAAGAACAATAAGTAACTTTTATATATATGCACATTGTCAGGAAATTTAAATATTCCTTACTGTGGATCCAATCTTATTTGTGGAATACATTTACTCTTTTTCATATAAACCACAAATCAAATGTTCAACAAAATAATTCAGGTTTGTTACCCAAAGGAAATTGGTTCCAACGAGAAAAAAAAAATTAAGTCATGATAGTACATATAAGTTTCAGAAACAGGTAGAAATATACATATATGAATTATTATGATCTTCTGCAAGATCTTTATGTCTGTTTCACAGCCGTTCACTTTAAAAATTAATTTACCCCAATTTTTTTAAATAAGGAAATCCTTAATACACATTTTTTATAGTTTGGCCTTACTTTCTAGATAAATTGTGAACTCATTTTGTATGTTACCGGATCACAATTTTCATTTTTATTTCATAGTTAAATTAAGATCAATTATTGGATTTTTGCACTTTTGAAAAACAAAGTTTTTTTAAAAATAAATATTGTAAAGCATATATATTGCATTGTAAGTAAGGAAGTATTCATGATATCAACCTTTAAATCTAAATGCATCATTCACCCACAAAATAGTACCTAGCATCTCCTGTAAATATAGGAAATACTGCATATATTGAATTTATCTGTTGGTCTGTTGACAATTTTTTTTTAACTAAAATACTTTAAATTACATTGTATTCACATGAGAGTTTAACTTGCAATCAATTCAATCATAACAATTTTGTGAACAAGAATCAATGGCTTTAAGAAACTTTTTACCCTGACTTCAAAATAATGCTTTATACCCTACTAGTATGTTCAGGTGAGAGAAAAGGAATATTAGCTGTGAGTTCAATTTAAACAGTCACGACACACTAAAAATAGTAGAAGTGTAATGTGAAAATTATATGTAAAAAAATATGAATAATTCTAGTCATCTTTGAAGGATAATATAATCTTTTTTTTATAGGTCACAGCATGTTTATTTATATCTTTATTTATTGACAAACAGATCAACGTGCATGACTTGTTTATGAGCAATATCCTGAAGTATCGAAAAATTAGGAAATAATCACTTGAAAAAGTATTCCACTGTCTATAGTGACACACTTATTGCATATCCTGTTCTAAGTTTACATGTACAAGTATGTCAAAATCATATTAGCATTCCAGCATCTTACCTAAGCCAATAGTACAATTGCAATAATGGGATTTTCTTCTCTCTTAGTAGTACATGTAACATACTTTATATTATTTTCTGCAACAGACTTATATATTATATATATTGATAAAAATATTTCTGTTTTTTTTTTATTTATTCTGACTAGATGACTTCATAAGTGACAAAAGTGTTTCTGGCTTGGCTCTTTAAAATCAATTAACTTTTCCTATTGTTAGATATGAAATACAACTATTTCCTACACTTCAGTTAAAATATTTTGTAATTTGACATCAATATTTTTAGCTTTATTGTACCCATTAAATCTATAAATGTTATGAAGATTTACAATGGAAATAAATTTTTATAAATTTACTATGAACATGATCAACAAATATAAGATACTATTTAGGGCTCAAAAGTAGCTAACCTTGAGTTCATACTTCTAAAAAAATAATTTTAAGAAGTTGTTATAGATAACTTGAGGTCAAAATATGCTTACCAAATATATAAACAATTTATTTGTATTTCTAGCATGTTAGTTTTATTTATTACATTAACCAAATGTTACAATGTGACATACATAAGACAAATGTTAAAGTATCAGTATGTTCACAGCAATTTTCAAACGACCACAAAAACAAAAGGCTTATTATGGATCTTCTTCAAGGTTTATTTACCTAAACATCTCTAAATCTCGGAAGAGTTGTAAATACAAAATAACTCTAATGGATGGAAAGTCAAAATAAAAAATGCAGATATGCCCACTTTTTTGCTGCAGTCTTCCTCGTTCTGATTTTCTTTATATCTTTCCACTTCTGGATGAAGTTTTTTTTCTCTTTTTAGATTTAAAGTAACCTCAGCAAATTTTGGGTGATTTATGATTGCATGAAGAATTTTATTAATGTTTTGTCATTAAAGAGGGAAGTTTAGCACTTGTTTTAGTTAATCTATTGTCTTGTTGATTAATCATACTCTGGCTGCTTAAATCACTGTCAGTTTGTATGTACATTGTTTTATTTACATCTAATGTGTTTATTTTTTTAATACTAAAATGTTGTAAAATTTCATGATTGCTTTCTTACTAGTCAAAAGAAAATACAAAAAGACCCATTATGGCATAATAACAGAGCTTGAAATAAAACTATAAATTTTCCGTTTTCCAAATTTAAACAAGTATTTTATTTTCTTAAATCAAAACACGAGAAAACTTTAAATTCATATTTTTTGTGATGCTTTTCTAATTGCAAAAAAAATGCACTTGGATTAGGTTATCCTATTAATTAAAACAATATTTGTATGAAACATTTTTCTAAATTTCTCCAATTAATCACAATTTTATGTCTGTTCAATGACTAACAATCACAAAAAAAATAAAATGCTCCGCTGGGCGCAGCTTGATACGACCACAGAGGTCAAACCCTCAACAGTTGGGGCAAGTATGGACACAACATTCAAGCTTGATACAGCACTGAATTTGGATTGTGATTAAATATTTGACACAGCATAGGTTTCTGACACAGAATGAATGTGGTCTAAGAACTTAAAAATTTTTAATTCACCTATTCAAACCATATCATTATTATTTGCTTTTATATATAAATCAGAAATAACCAATTTATTAAAATGGAAAATTTTAAAGAAAAAAAAAGGAAAAAAAATCCCCCCCCAATTTTTTGAACCCCCTTATGATTCATCACCCCCAAACTCAATCCCAGACTTCCCTTTGTGGTATGGTACCCTGCAGTACAATTTCAGAGAGATCCATACACTTGAACACAAGTTATTGTCTGGAAACTAGAAAAATGCTTGTTTTTTTGGCCCCTTTTTGGCCCCAAATTCCTTAACATTTAGGGCAATTACACCCAAACTCAAACCCACCTTTTCCTTTGTGATATGGAACCTTGTAGTACAATTTCATAAAGATCCATACACTTACACACAAGTTATTGTTCTGAAACTAGAAAAATGCTTGTTTTTTGCCCCTTTTTGGCCCCTAATTCCTAAAATTTTGAGGCAATTACCCCCAAAATCAATCCCAGCCTTCCCTTTGTGGTATGGTACCTTGCAGTACAATTTCAGAGAGATCCATACACTTGAACACAAGTTATTGTCTGGAAACTAGAAAAATGCTTATTTATGGCCCCTTTTTCCTAAACGTTTTGGGCAATTACCCCCAAACTCAATTCCAGCTTTTCCTTTGTGATATGGAACCTTGTAGTACAATTTCAGAAAGATCCATACACTTACACACAAGTTATTGTCATGAAACTAGAAAAATGCTGTTTTTTTGCCCCTTTTTTTGCCCCTAATTCCTAAAATTTTGAGGCACTTCCCCCAAAATCAATCCCAGCATTCCCTTTGTGATACGGAACCTTATGGTACAATTTCAGAGAGATCCATACACTAACACACAAGTTATGTCTGGAAGTTACAAAAATGCTTATTTTTGGCCCTTTTTGGCCCCTAATTACTAAACTGTTGGTACCATAACCCCCAAAATCAATCCCAACCTTCCTTTTGTGGTATTGAACCTTATGGTAAAATTTCATAGAGATCCATTCACTTAAACTAAAGTTAGAGTGCGAAAACCAATGTGTCTTCGGACGACGCCGACGCCGCGCACGTCATACCAATATACGACCACAAAGTTTTTTGGCGGTTGTATAAAAATGCCTTAAATAAATTTTGGAATTTACAGTAAATGGAGATGTGGGATATACATCAATGAGACAAGAATCCAACAAAAAAAACAGAAGAGACATCTAGATCTATATACCGTTTTTTAACATTCAAGACGTATTCCTACAACAGGATACATGTACATTTAATCAACTGAATAATCCTGGATTATAACTAAAACAAATAACCTGTATGTATAGTGGGTATACAACAATAACAAAGTTATCTAAACGCTACATGATAATTTTACTCTATTGAAAGGATAACCACCCTCTCATCATGTAATAGTCATACAAAGAAGATTAAGTTTCTATTTTGTAAACTGATGAATAAAATTATCTGAACATAAGGTATAAATAAAAGCATTATTAAGTAGAAGGATTTATTATAAAAATAAACTGATGATTTTGTTAATATTAAATGACCATTTCAAGGTTGGTTACATAGATAATACACAAAAATGTACATAAAGCGTCAAACTGTGATATTCTGTACCCTGCAATTTATTAAAATACATATATACATGTATGTACAAACCAGATTATTAAGCTGAGTGACTGTGATCAATGTTGATGACCTAGACAAAACCTGTAATCTGTTACCATGGTTATAGTTAGGTAGTTCTGTTCCACATGTCTCCAAAATGGAGTCTAACAGCGAGGATACACAACCCTGCAATGAAAAGACCAATATCAAAATTCTGTCCATGTGTATTTGCATCACACTGTGCATGCTTTTTTTCCAAATGTTAATTCTTTGTGTATGTTGAATTAAAAATAAATCTAAAATTTATAAAAAACGAAAGGGAGCTCAGGTCAATAGATATAAACAATTCACCAAATTTTCATGCATATTGGTTAAAGCTTTTTTGAGTTAGGACAGACGGTCAACGGTATACCATAATACGTCCCGTAAACGGGCGTATAATAAATAGGGAATGTGTCCATGGGATACAGATGATGCCCCCACTTGCATACAACATTATAAAGGGCCCTTTATAGCTAACTGTTCGGTGTGAGCCAAGGCTCCATGTTGTAGGCTGTACTTTGACCTTTAATGGTTTAATTTTACAAATTGTGACTTGGAAGGAGAGTTGTCTCATTGGCACTCATACCACATCTTCTTATATCTAATAACTCCAGAACGGTAAAAGTGACACTACCAAAATTCTAACTTGATCTGTGTTTTGAGGTAATAAACATTGTGTATAAGATTCATAACGTTAAGTTGAGGCAAACTAAGGTTAGAGAACAGAAACGAATAAAATGCTTCGCTGGGCGCAGCTTGATACGACCGCAGAGGTCGAACCCTGAACAGTTGGGGCAAGTATGGACACAACATTCAAGCTTGATACAGCTCTGAATTTGGATTGTGATTGAATATTTGACACAGCATAGGTTTCTGACACAGAAAGAATGTGGTCTAAGAACTTGAATTTTTTTAATTTACCTATTATGGTCCAATGTCCAAAATCAAAATACATGGTAAGATTCAGCATATCAAAGAACCCCATATATTCAATTTTTGTTGAAATCAAACAAAGTTTAATTTTGGACCCCAACTTGGACAAACTTGAAAACTGGGCCCATAATCTAAAATCTAAATACATGTTTAGATTCAGCATATCAAAGAACCCCAAGAATTCAATTTTTGTTAAAATCAAACTAAGTTTAATTTTGGACCCTTTGGACCTTAATGTAGACCAATTTAAAAAATGGGACCCAAAATTAAAAATCTAAAAACACGGTTAGATTTGGCATCTCAAAGAACCCCAATAATTCAATTTTTGATGAAATCAAACAAAGTTTAATTTTGGACCCTTTTGACCTCAATATGAACCAATTTGATAGCGGGCCCACAAATAAAAAATCTAAATACATGGTTAGATTCAGCATATCAAAGAACCCCATATATTCAATTTTTGTTGAAAGCAAACAAAGTTTAATTTTGGACCCCAATTTGGACCAACTTGAAAACTGGGCCAAAAATCTAAAATCTAAATACATGTTTTGATTCAGCATGTCAAAGAACCCCATATATTCAATTTTTGTTGAAATCATACAAAGTTTAATTTTGGACCCCAACTTGGACCAACTTGAAAACTGGGCCCATAATAAAAAATCTAAACACATGTTTAGATTCAGCATATCAAAGAACCCCAAGAATTCAATTTTTGTTAAAATCAAACTAAGTTTAATTTTGGACCCTTTGGACCTTAATGTAGACCAATTTAAAAAATGGGACCCAAAATTAAAAATCTAAAAACACGGTTAGATTTGGCATCTCAAAGAACCCCAATAATTCAATTTTTGATGAAATCAAACAAAGTTTAATTTTGGACCCTTTTGACCTCAATATGAACCAATTTGATAGCGGGCCCACAAATAAAAAATCTAAATACATGGTTAGATTCAGCATATCAAAGAACCCCATATATTCAATTTTTGTTGAAATCAAACAAAGTTTAATTTTGGACCCCAATTTGGACCAACTTGAAAACTGGGCCAAAAATCTAAAATCTAAATACATGTTTAGATTCAGCATGTCAAAGAACCCCATATATTCAATTTTTGACCCCCCACAATTTCTTTTTATCCCCCCCCCCTTTTTCCTCCCAAAAAATTCTTTCCCTCAAGATATGGTCATAATCTCAATTCAAATTTCCAATGGAGTTGGCAACCATAATTACCCATTTAAATTTACCATAGTGCTAACTTAATCTATTTTATAATAGAATTTAAAATATAGTGTCAAATCTTTCATATGGATTTTTTTGAAAAAAAAAAAGATGCAACATTTGCAGATATTTTTACTGGTCTTCCTTTATAAATATGCATTTCTTTAAACATAATTTAAAAGCAGTGTAAGGGAAGTAACTAAAACGTTGTATTTGGATTACCTCCCTTACACTGTTTTAAATTATCTTAATTGTTCATAAACCATTACTTTATACATAATTTAAAAGCAGTGTAAGGGAGGTAATTTCAATGATGTATTTGATTTATCTCCCTTACACTGCTTTAAATTATGTTTTGTACTAAAGTATTTGTCCATTAACCAGGACAACCTTGTTTTTCCCCCTTTTTTTCCCCTAATTCCTAAACGGTTTGAGCCATAACCCTCCAAAGCAAATCCTAACCATCCCTTCGTGGTATGGAAACTTGTAGTATAATTTCAGAGAGATCCATACACCTTTCCACAGTTATTGTCTGGAAACTAGAAAATGCTTATTTTTGGCCCCTAATTCCTTAACTGTTGGTACCATAACCCCCAAAATCAACCCCAACCTTCCTTTTGTGGTATTTAACCTTATGGTAAAATTTCAAAGAGATCTATTCACTTAAACTAAAGTTAGAGTGCGAAAACCAATGTGTCTTTGGAGGACGACGACGCCATACCAATATACGACCGCAAAATTTGTTTGCGGTTATATAAAAATTCAGCAATTTTTCCATTTGTAAAGGGGCATAACTCTAGAATGGTAAAAGTGACACCACCAAAATTCAAACTTGATCTGTGTTTAGAGGTAATAAACATTGTGTATAAGATTCATAACGTTTAGTTGAGGCAAACTTAAGTGAGAGAACAGAAACGAAAAATTCAGCAATTTTTCCATTTGTAAAGGGGCATAACTCTAGAATGGTAAAAGTGACACCACCAAAATTCAAACTTGATCTGTGTTTTGTGGTAATAAGCATTGCCTATAAGTTTCATAACATTTGGTTAAGGCAAACTTAAGTTAGAGAACGGAAACTAAAATATCAACATTTTTTCCATATGTAAAGGGGCATAACTCTAGAATAGTAAAAGTGTCACACCAACCAAAATTTAAACTTGATCTGTGTTTTGTGGTAATAAGCATTGTGTATAAGTTTCATAACATTTGGTTGAGGCAAACTAAAGTTAGAGAACAGATACGTAAAATTCAGCAATTTTTCCATTTGTAAAGGGGCATAACTCTAGAATGGTAAAAGTGACGCCACCAAAATTCAAACTTGATCTGTGTTTTGTGGTAATAAGCATTGTGTATAAGTTTCATAACAATTGGTTGAGGCAAACTAAAGTAAGATAATGGAAACCAATTTTTGGACGTACTGACGGACGTACGTAAGTATGTACAGACGGACAAAGGTAAAACTTAATGCCCCCTCTGCTACGGCGGAGGCATAAAAATATGGACAGAAAATGTGACTGTTATCCTAAATGTAGACGCTTCTGACCATGCTAACTGTCATGACTGTATGAATTAAGAACATTTATTTATAACAATTGCGTTTAGTTATTTCTATGTTTTTTTGGGACAATGCATATGGCGATAATACTTTTAGGATAGGAAACAAAGGAATGAACACAAAAATCCTCTATACATCCTTTTTAATGAGCAAGGATATAGGATTCACCTCTACATGTATCCAACTCTTTTATGACCATGCCGGCCAGTGTATATATATTTATTGGTTTAATGGGAATATCATTTTCATTCATTTTTGTGTAAATTCATTGTACATTTGTATAAGGTAATTACCATGCATGCATGCTTATGAAGTTACAAAAATTTCCATCTTAAACTCAAGAACACAATGGAGTCCTTTAATTGAATAGCCCAATTGTCAGCGAAAAATATCAGATGTAATTAACAAAAAATATTAACATTTCAAAATAAAGCCAATAGAAATGTTCATTCTAATATGATGCTCTCCTTTTGCTTTGCAAACAAGCCATTTTCCAATTCCAATAGAACATGGCGTGCACATGAGTGACATCACAGTTGAAATTGCAACCTCAAATGTATTTTGAACAATGCCAAAAATCAAAATAGACATTTTTGTTGATGATGCTTACTAGGAAATTAAAAAAAAATCATACTATAAGAAAGTTTGAAAATGTTTCAACAAAATGTTTTTAATCATGAAACACTTTAGTTTTCTAGAACATTTGTGCTTCTTCAAATCAAAATAGCTGCCTCCTTGGTGTTTTACAGGTCCACCTTGAAGTACAAAATTTATGAACTTTCCTGTTAGTACTGAAATAATTCAATGTTAATTTTAACATGGGTAGGCATTATATTTGTCAACATTTAACACCTCGCTTTCGCTAGCTATAGGTATACAGATATGTTAAAAATGAGCATAGAGCATGGCATGAAAGAATTATTTCTTAAATAATGTGATTCATTGAAAAGTTATTTATTATGTTTATGAAATGATAAGTTTATCATATTAACATATTTCGGCGTGTATAATACACACTTTTAGCCCCAAAAATGTAGTTGGTAGAGGGGATGCATATTATACACAACTACAGAACGTTTTTTGATTATTTTTTTTTGATTTTTTATTCTTTATTGATTACATTCAAGACATTTTTCATTTTATTTATTTTATTTGTAATTTTTTTAAATAACCTTTTTTACCTAAATTATTGTGACTTTTCAAAGTACAGGTGTGACATTCTGCATTAAAAGCTTAAAGGGTAATTAAGGATTAAGTATCCATCTGTACAAATTGAATAATCATGTCAACGTTTGATTGGTGTTCAATATACATGATATAATAACCTCAAGCAGTGCTCTAATTCAACATGCAGAGATGCAGCTAATCGTCGGACCTGTCGGCCCGAGGGGGCAGAATTTGAGCAGGTCCCGCAAATGGGGCTTTTGTGCAAAACCGAGTGACCGTCAAGGTGTTTTGATAGCCTGGGTCCAGCAAAAGTTAAATATCTGACAGTCCTGAATAACTTTTATCAAGAAAATCCTTTATTATCTTATCAAATCGTTTTTTACTTTCAGAAATAATCCTGTAAACATTTCTGTTCCCGTCTCAGTGGCTTAATCTGGAGAACCAGTTCATATTCCAGATTTTTTTTTCATATCTTATGATTTTGGATTGTAATTAAATTTTTGACACATAATAAGTTTCTGACACAGAATAACTGTAGTCAAAGAACTTCAAATTGGTTATATGATTTGAATTTATATTCAATTTTTTGCTTTTGTGCAAAACACTTTGCGAATTGACCCCCCCCCCCCCAAAAAAATAAATTTTACGCTGTTTTTTTGCTTTTGTGAAAAAATATTTGAAGAAATTTTCTTTTAATTTCTGAAATCTGAAATGAGAAAAATTGTCCCCCTCCAATTTTTTTCACCTCCCCCCTTTCCCTTATTCCAAAAAAATAATTATTTCCCTCAAGTTATGGTCAGTATCTCAGACAATCATCATTTCTTAATACATAATTTACAAGCAGTGTAGGGGGGTAATCAAACATTGTTATTTAAATTGATTATGATTTTGATTACCTCCCTTACACTACTTTTAAATTGTCTCAATTGTCCTTTAACCAGAAAAACCCTTGTTTTTACCCTTTTTTTGCCCCTTAATTCCTAAATGGTTTGAGCCATAACCCCCAAAGTCAATCCTAACCATCCCTTTGTAGTATGGAAACTTGTGGTATAAATCAGAGAGATTCATACACTTTAACACAAGTTATTGTCTGGAAACTAAAAAAATGCTTATTTGGGCCCCTTTTTTGGCCCCGTTTTGGCCCCTTATTCCTAAACAGTTGAGACCATAACCCCAAAAATCAATCCCAACCTTCCTTTAGTGTTTATAAACCTTGTGTTAAAATTTTATTGATTTCTATTTACTTATACTAAAGTTATTATCCGGAAACCATCTGTCTTCGGACGACGCTGACGACAACGTGATACCAATATACGACCAAAAAAATTTTAATTTTTGTGGTCGTATAAAAATGTTTGAGCTCTTATATCTTTTGTTCCATATCATTCCAATTATTTTTTTTTGTAATATTTGATCAGTGCATCAGCTTGGACAAGCTTAAACAAACATTGATTTCACAAGGGATCAAAAACTGATACAGAATCATACTTACATAATATACTTGTTGACCTCCTATTTCATTTCTTCATCTAAAATATTTTGGGGGTTTCCCTTAGCAATCTAGGAGTTTGCAAGGGCAGTGGAATGATTTTGTAAGCTTTGCTAGCAGAACCTGTGATCTTTTTTTCATATTGAATCAATCCTACATTGTCTAGAATCTGGGTTATAATTGTTTTACCTTTTTTGAAAAATATGTGTTGACTTCTAGTAATTTTAACCATTTTCTTTTGTTTAATATTTTTCTAGTTTTTTTCCCAAGCTTTTTTTTTTAAATCGACATTTTTTCACGATTTTAGAGGGATGAAAAGGGGTGCATATTATACACAACTGTGTATTATACACAGCTAAATATAGTAATAGTGAAAGAAAAATGATAATCCAACGCCGTCAAATTAATCCTACATGTATGCAAACAAATTTGTATATAAACTAATAATTATACACCTGCAGGGCTTAACTGAAGTGAACAATTTTTATAATATAGTATACCAAATGAGAAGGGTAAACTTGTAGCTGTAATATTTACCTTTTCAAATCTGTCATACAAGTCTTTCTCTTTAGAATCTTCTTCCCACTGAGATACAGCTAGCACTTGTATAATCTGGGCAATCTGCATCAGATTATGGCGGGCAATGTGACTGATATGTATATCTGATGTAATACCATAAGGCTCAGGATCACAGATAGCTGGACACACAAATAATGTAAATACTAAGTCTACACAAATTACACGGATTTTATCAATGTCATGTTTACCAGTTTTCAGCAGGATATGATAGACCTGGGATATCAGCCATCCTAGAGCTGGCGGAAAACAGTGCATATTATTTTTTAATGCCGACACAAACCTATTTGTTAAAATAACAAGTTTATCTACAATGAATTTTCTATAGTCTTGCAATTTTTCAGCATACTGAGGAGTGCCTTCAGCTCCAAATCGTTTCTGCCGTTCTGCAGCAGGGAATCTGACTAACGCTTTCCCAGGGTCAATATCGTAAAACCACTCATCCTCCATCATAAGCTTCATAACTGCTTCATGCAGAGCTGCTGTAAGAAACAACCTTGCTGAGAAAAGACAGTCAAAAAGTTGTAAAAACATTAACCTAAATCCACAAGTACCCTTACGTATCAAACGTCGAGGGTCCTCAGCGTTAGCCAATTGTAATTCGGCTAATGTTTTCATCATTTGCATTGCTAAATGTTCATCTTCATGAAGAATGACATTGCCATAAACAGCTGACACAATAGTTCTTAGAACATCTTGAGTATTTTCAACAGCAGATTTTTCCCCACTATCTATACAATGTGCCGTATAAATTGGGCTGTCTCTTAAAATTTTCAAAAATTCTCCATATTTGGAGTCTTGGTATCCCAAATATTTATACCCGTCTACAAAATTGGTCCATTCTAATTGGTTGTTATTGCTACAGACTTCCTTAGCTGATATGTTGGCAGCAAACAACAGCTTGTACATACATGATCGCTGTTGTCTTGCAATCCAGGACTGGTGAAACAAATCATCTGAGTATTTTCTGACATCTTCAAATGTTTTATGTATATTGGTTCGTTGGGCATGTACAAACAGACTCTCCTGTTTGAGATGATGGGCTAGTTCAACGAGATCTGATGGCAGAGTCATTTTCTTTGTGTTTTCATCTATCACATATCACATCATGGAGTCCTGAAAAAGAACAGGAGATCATTAATGAATTACCCATTGTTTTCAAATTGCATACCTCTATCTTTTTTGTACAATATACATCTGCTTACTGTCACATGAGAAAAAAATAGTGCAAGTGGGTACTAGGTAGAGATTTTTTTTACCATGTTTACCTTAAATTTATTTGGGAAACATTTTGACTTTAAAAGTACTTATTGCAAAATGTAAAATTTATTTCCTGTATCTTGTATTGTTCTAATCAATATTCATTGATATATTCAAAACGAAAAATATCAAATTAAATGAAAAATATATTGGGAAGTAAACAACTTAAGGAAATCATTCTTTTGTTTAATTCAACATGTTCAATGTTTTTATGAATATGTTGATAGCAGTTATATTATTCTTAATTAAAGGTTAATGTCTTTTACAACCCACCTGCTTATGAATGTCAAATTGAAAAAAAAATAAATACATGTAACTCATGACAAATTTTGAAAATGTCTGTTTTGCAATTTATTCATAAAATGGATTGTCTATGCATTTTAAGAAATCTTTGTGCTAAAATTTTTAACCAAGCATCTTTATTCTTACAGATCAAGTTCATGGTCTCTCTTTGAAAGTAATGGAACATTTTGATTAGAAAATGATCAATTCGTTTATTTATTTTTGTTAAAGCCACTGAACTATCTGAATTTATTTTGAACTGTTAAACACTCTTGACCCAAAAACCTAACTTACATTTGAAAATTGCTTGTTTTGATCTTACAGTCATATGATAATCAATAATAAAACCCTGAAGTGTTTTTTACTTGATGCATTTATATTCTATGCATAAAATTTCAATCCACTTAAAATTATGTGAACTTATTGATCTATTGTTTCTATTATTAAAATAACATACTTAGCATGCTTAGTCTAATGTTTGATATAAACACAATTCCAATTGAAGTTTTGAAATTGAATACTAAGGTCAATAGAACTTAGATTACCCATGGGGTTTTCTAACAATATATATGCCCATAGAAGAACATTGGATATCCAGGGTATTCTTCCAATAGTCCGATAGAACTTTGATAACCAGGATAATCTAGCACTAGATCCATAGAAGACCCTTGGATAGCCAGGATAGTTTAACACTAGGCCCATAGAACATCATTGGATAACCAGGGTAATCTAACACTAGAAGAACATTGGATAACCAGGGTTATCTTATTATAGGCCAATAGAACTTTGATAACCAGGATAATCTAACACTAGACCCAAAGAAGACCCTTGGATAGCCAGGATAATTTAACAATAGGTCAATAGAAGAACATTGGATAACCAGGGTATTCTAACAATAGGCCAATAGAACTTTGATGACAAGGTTAAACTTACACTAGGCCCATAGAAGACCCTTGGATAACCAGGATAATTTAGCATTATGCCCATAGAAGAACATTGGATAACCAGGGTATTCTAACACTAGGCCCATAGAAGAACATTGGATAACAAGGGTATTCTAACACTAGGCCCATAGAACATTGGATAACCAGGGTAATCTAAAAATAGGCCAATAGAAGAACATTGGATAACCAGCGTATTCTAACAATAGGCCAATAGAACTTTGATAACAAGGTTAATCTAACACTAGGCCCATAGAAGAACATTGGATAACAAGGGTATTCTAACACTAGGCCCATAGAACATTGGATAACCAGAGTATTCTAACAATATATGACCATAGAAGAACATTGGATAACAAGGCTATTCTAACAATAGGTCCATAGAAGAACATTGGATAACCAGGGTTATATTATAGTTCGTTTCTGTGTGTGTTACATTTTAATGTTGTGTTTTTGTTGTGTCGTTGTTCTCCTCTTATATTTGATGCGTTTCCCTCAGTTTTAGTTTGTAACCCGGATTTGTTTTTATCTCTATCGATTTATGAGTTTCGAACAGCGGTATACTACTGTTGCCTTTATTTATCTTATTATAGGCCAATAGAACTTTGATAACCAGGGTAATCTAACACTAGGCCCATAGGAGACCCTTGGATAACCAGGATAAATAAACAATAGGGCAATATAAGAACTTGGATAACCAGGGACAGGGTAATCTAAAAATAGATAGGCCAACAGAAAAACTTGGTCTTGGATAACCAGGGTAATCTTGTATTAGGCCAATAGAAGAACCTTAGACAACCAGGGTTATCTAACAATGGGCCAATTAGAAGAAATTGAATAACCATGGTAATCTAATATCAGGCTAATAGAAGAACTTGGATAACCAGGGTAAGCTAACAATAGGCATGATAGGCCAATAAACAAAATTGGATATCTTTGAGCTTTTTTGCATGTACAATAACAATGTTACAGTAGATGGTGTAAATTTAAGGCCAAAATGTCACTTCTGTCACGGATGGACTAATAGATGTATGGACAAGGTGAAAGCAATATATTCCTAGAGTGGGGGTATAATGAGATATAATGACAAGACATTTTGTTTCATTTCCTTTACTTAAAAGTACAGAGAACATAAAATAAACTTAACACAGAGATATGTCTCGCTTATTTGTTATTTTAAATTTGATATTGCAAATGTTGAAATTAAAATAGCAATACTTTAACCAGTCAGGGACTTACTTAAATCAGTAATTTTCTAAATCACTGATTCAAGTAACATTATGTCCATTAAAGTTAGAAGTAAGAGTTGTCTTTCTTTAATATTTACCTATTTAAGTAGTACAAATTAATCACTAGACTAAGTGATTTAATTTTATTGTAGCTTTAAATATAGAATACTAATGATCCAGGGACTAATTATTTTGCTAAAATTATCAGAACCAACATCTGTGTTGATAGGATGACCGGGTCATGTCAGGTGATGACCTTGTACTAAATCTAGGATAATGACATAAAAATCACTTGTTTAAGTATCATACCTCAATTTTCTTAAAAAAAATCACTTCTTTAAGTATCATTATTTTAATAACCCCCACTAATTTCAACACCCCTGAACAGTGAAATTGTGATGGCGAACAGTAGAATTTTATTACATAATCTATAAGATGAAACCTTGAATTTTACAGGAAAAATACTCCCACTGCTGGGAAAAATCTGTTAAGAAAGTATCAGTTCATTATGTAACGCCATTTTTATAGCATTTTTTCAACTAAAATAGAATTTGCAGCTAAATGATTGCATCAAAGGCATAAACCTTGCTGCTTAAAAGAAGCAGAAAGTTCATTTTTTTCAATTTTACTAATGAAAAGATATTATCTAAACCTATGTGTTTAAAATTTTGGTAAAACTACAAAATCACAATTTGTGACAAAACTTCGAATTTGCTACTTAAATAAGTGATTTAAAAATCAATTATTTGAATAAGTCCCCTGACTGTTAACATGTAAGTTATGCAAATATCTAAAGTCAATGAACCATGACTGAAGGTACAGGGCTAAACAATCTCCATGGAATTGAGATATGCCAATGCTAATACAACTGCATACGAAATACCATGAACTTTTCATAAGTCGTTCCCTTTAAACAAACCTAAACACAAACATTAACTTGTAAATTATGTTAAAGTTTCAAAGTCAATGAACCATAATGAGGGGTGGGGTTATATAATCTCCATGGAAATGAAACTTGCAATTGCCAATACATTTGCATACCAAATAACATTGACTTAACATCAGTGGTTCATCTTAAACTGACCTAATCACAGACTATGACTGAGGGGCAAGGATCAAATATTCTCCATGGAAATGAGATGTGCTAATGCTTATACAACTGCATACCAATTATCATTGACCTGCCACTAACAGTTCCCCTTAAACTGACCTAATCACAAACTAATACATGAAAACTAAGCAAAAGTTACAAAGTCAATAGACCATGAATGAGGGGTGGGGCCAAATAATCTCCATGGAAATGAGATATGCCAATGCTTTAGACTGCATTCCAAATATCATTGACCTAGCTACCACTAGTGGTTCCCCATAAACTGACCTAATCACAAACTAATACATGTAAACAAAGCAAAGTTTCAAACTCAAAGTCAATAGACCATGACTGAGGGGGCAGGGTCAAATAATCTCCATGTTAAAGAGATGTGCCAATGCTTATACAACTGCATACCAAATATCATTGACCTACATGTCCCACTAGTGGTTCGCCATAAACTAGACCTAATCACAAACTAATACACTGTTGACGCCGCCACCGGAAACAGCATACCTATGACTATGTCTTGCTTTTTAACCCAGTCAAGGCGAGACAAAAAATAGTTTTTTCCTTTAAAAATAAGACATGGAAATTCAGACTTGCATAAGACTACATCTATGTCTCCCATTTCTTAAAAAAATTGAAGTTTCAAAAAGATTTTTTCCTCATTTCAGAAGATTCTTAAATTCATGTCATGTTGCAGATTGGGCAGAAATTTTTAGTCCAAGTTGTGGTCAACAGTCAGAAATTCAGAACATGTGTTCTTTTTTATATATATATTCATATTCATGATACAAGCAAACAAACATCTTTTCAATCCTGTACATGTCAATATAATTTCAGGTACTTCCTGATGTAATCTGTATATGTACATCTTCTGGCTCTTCAGAAATAAAATACTTTTTAACATATTAAACTGTGCAGTCTTTTAATTACATGTAGATTAATCTGTCCCATATTTGCAAGTGTTGATGATTTTTTTTAAACTAGAGATAATTTTATGTATATTATATATTAATAAATTGAAGGTTATTTGTATGGTGGTTAATGATTTGTATACTCAGCCTTTCACCAAAAAACCTTGGCCCCTTGGATCTTAGTCAGTTTTGTTCATCTATGGACAAGAAATGAAATGCTGTTTTTGTCATGTACATGTATATGTTTTTAACAATTAATTGTTACTGAACATCCCACACAAACTTACATGTACTATAAAAATCAGATGTGGTATGATTGCCAATGAGACAACTCTCCACCTGAGACCAAATGACATAGAAGTTAACAACTATAGTTCACTGAACAACCTTCAAC